CGTATATGTTGTTTTGCGAGACAGTTCTAATTTGGATTACAATTTATCCATAGCTGCTGTTGGACGCTGTCCTGTCGCCTTGTCTAGTCCTGCAACAACATAGCGCCGGTGCTCCCGTACTCACAGCGAGCGCCTGCCAAGTTTGACAGGACCAGCGGCTAAGCTAGCGTCATGCCAACAAATCAAATAGTTTCGCATCTAGATTGCGCTCACCTGTCAGCTCAATTCAAAAAGCGATTTAATGATCCCGGATCGCTTCCCAATAACGTGTTAAGTCTAGTGCGAATCGGTTTAGGCGTTTCTATAGCGCTTCACGATTCGGAGCTGGATAGCTCAGAATGGCATGTCTACTGCATAGTAGACTCTCTAGTCTCGAGGCCGCCTTCGCAGCGTGGGAAATATTTGTTGTATATAATATCTGATCGTAGCCGTCCAGTCACGGTTTGCTGGTTGATTGCTGCCCTTTCATTGTCATCATCTGGTATTGATAGATACCCTTATTTGATCTTGTTCCGTTACTTCAAGTTGCTGCATCTGATCCGTCAATAGGAAATATGTTGTCTCTTGTCCTCCTTTTGCCAGCCCTGGCGGCTGCATTCCCAGGTTTGGAGCCAAGGGTCTGCGGTGACAACTGTGCTCGCGGTAAGCTTTGCTCTTGATCGTAAAACTTCTCCTCATACTGATAATCCTGACCAGCGGTGATCGCATCGGCTTATACAACTCGCCATGGAGCTGCGGATTGTTCTTCCTATCTGCTCACCACAGTCACACCCGCTATCTCGTAATTAGTCCCTATTCTAACCGTGTAGCTATTTATATAGAAACTAATCTTCGCTGCTTGTGTAGAACCATCACTGAGACATCTACACTTAGCGTCACACCAGTTGAGACTATTCCTAGTACACAAACATCGACCACAACCACCACTGTTGGGGCTACTATAAGAATAACAGTACCAGGTGTAAGTTGTCGATTGTCTTGCTGAATAAATCCTACACTGACTAACAGCATTTAGGTTGTCACCGAGACGGTTACCAGTACCACAACTGTAACTTCGAATTGGCCAAAACTACCGACTTCACTGAAAAAGCGTGATGAGATTTCTGCTCCTTCGATCATCCCGGCATATGCGTCTCCCTGCTCTGGTGCCGCAAGATATACGACGGCGTGTGCTTGCGTTGGCGTTTTCCCCAGCACCGTCACAGCAGCTACACCACTAGCTACAACGACGACATATGTCACACTATCCCACACATCTACAGTAACTCAAATCGTTACTATCGAGACAGAAACTGCCACAGTCACGACCGACGTTGTTTCTTGGGTCACGTACGTTTTTGACTTGATGAAATGATGATTTTTCATAAAAGAACTATTCTAACAAGTAATCATTTGAAGACCTTCTACGACTATAGTGACAGCGATTGCTACCGCGACATTGCCGGCCTTTCGCCTCAGAGTTTCTGGAGGCGATTACAATAACCGCAATGTGTATCCTGACTCGAGAGACTCTTCTGTAATGCTGACGCGTACCACGTCTTCTGGCCTCTGGACTCTCGACACGGAGACCAACACCCTGATCGACACTCGAACCGGATACTCGCTGTATGTGTCCAGAGGTGATTCATCCACGCCTTCGATACCCGAGGTTCTGAGCGCAGGGGATGCTGCATCTGCAGCAGATGTGGTCTTGGCTAACTGCTGGGTGTACGCATATGGCAGCAACATGGCTTTACGGTGCGAGGAGCCGAACAGTAACAACCTATGGATCACTGCTGCGTCGACAGGTGATGAGCAGTTGTTCTTGGGCAGCTCATCCCTTGCTGGGCAGTTAGGTTTCAGTAGCGCACTGACGCTTCAGCTTGTTGGTGTGGATGGCAATGCGTACTGAAGCTTGTAGAGAAGATTGAGGACAAAATAGGCTTAAATTGTTTGATATAAGTGCAGTATTATAGAGAAATGACATGGCCTTTTCTTCAACTTTAATTCAATTAAAAAATGAGATTTTACTATTCTATTATTAGTATTTTATTTTACTAGACAATTAATATTTATGTATAATTAGTTATTAGTAGCTTTATATCTCTACTAGTAGAGCATAGTAGAGAGGTCACAAAACATATGCCACAGAGATCGCAGGGCTGAAAGTCGTCGAGCATAGGCAGTAGCGTACCCGGCCTTGCTCGTATTCCTTCTGCCTTTGGCGGATTCGGCGAGGCGTATGTGACGGTTGCATCGAAAACAGTGCGGAGCCCAGGCACGGAACCCAGGGGTAACTAACGGAACTTAACAAATTCGACCAAGGTCTTTCATAGAAGATGGCTTTCTGGCCAAAGAGGGACAGCAAGTACGACTCCAGGGCAAAACAGTGCTTCACGACGCTTCTGAGTCTCTCGGTAACTGCACACAGATCGCTCCTGGGAGCGCAACTAGTGCCAGAAAGATAAGAGAATGTCGAGAGTGCCTTGGCGCACGTGGTCTCTGAACCAGTGTACAAAGTAAGAGGGGGGGGGGTAGGAAGAAGATTCATCCCGCCTTCCTCCTCGCTGCCGTAGTCGGCAGAAGTCAGAGTATTACTGCTGCTAGGAACCGGAATCAGATGGACGGCGTCAGACTTATGTCCGGTGAAGAGATTCACTGTCGCAGAAGCTTATTATGAAACATAGTGGTATGGCCCGTACTTTTACAGCCGCGACTGGCCTCGTCAGGTTGACGGCGGGCGGCTCTTGGGAAGACATGGTATCGCAGGTCTCCAAGCACACCACTCGTCTCTTTTATCGAGAAAAAGGCGGCCAATATTCAAGTATTGAGCTATTAAGGACCCTCATTACTTTCTCCTCTTTATCTAGGAAAAGAGGAGGCTCCAAGCGCACCCGATGGCGAGCCACAAAGGTATGATGGACTTTATTATTAGGGCTGCCTGGCTCACCCTGTGCGCAAGGGCTCGCGCGAGCAATAGCGGCACTGCTCACCCCGATCACCCGGCTCAGCTGATTGGAGAGACGAGGGGAGGCAGTCGCATGATTTCACTGTAATCACATAGGATCACACACCCTATGGCAAAAGAAGGGAGCATGCATCGTTCCTGCCTGATAGAACGACCATTTATTTGCATCTAGTTGAACCTCCGTGTGGACAACATACAGGCGACAGCAACTGTCACATATTTGAAAATGGTTGAAAACGTACATGAATTACAAGATCCTACTCAGGTAGTATTGCTGAGCAAATTTTGAGTTGGCCGCAATCTATCACAGTCAGCAGCTGTCTTCGATAATGCAACCTTGTCCGACTTACAAGTTGAGCAGTCTCGTTGTTCCTCACGGCATTGGCATCACTTCCCACCCCCGACAACACCTTCTTCACGCGCTCCAAATCTTCATCCTCGTTGATGCCCAAACTATAGCTGAACTCTGCACTGCTTCCACGCCTCCACTCAATGAACCAGCGGTTAGTATCGAAGCCACACAAGGTGGTGCGATTTCCGAGGGTCCAACCTGCTTGCAAGCGGTCTTCCACTCCCTGAATAAGTTCGCTTGATATTTGGCTTCGTATGGCTGGGTTGTCAGGTAGTATCATTGAAGAGTTTCCATTCTCATACCGGACCAGTAGGAGATCATGCAGACCGAACGCGACAAAATCAATACACTCGTCCTTCCGGGGGTGGTTCGTCTCGAGCTCGTGTACGAGATATTGAAATGTCGAGGGAAACGTAGATATTTCAGGCCCCCATATGCATACTTTCGAGTCGTATCGGACAAACCAGCTAATGCCGTTTGGGGCAAAAGCTACAGAGGTCACGCGCCCACGACCCGGGCGAGCGAGGCCGTCTGAAGCAACCGTGATAAGCTGTGTATGGAGGAATGGGACCATGTCACTCGGACATCGGCCCGCCCCTGTTGTAAAATGTATGAGAATACTGAAGGAGATATGTACGACAGCGCAGTACGCCAGGAGAAATAAGCTCACAATCATTGTTGACTTTCTGGGCCCAGTGATAGCCATTTGGGCCAGTGGCAAATGCCTTCAACTGCATGGCATTCCATTCGTATGTTTTGAATTTGCCTTCGTAATCGGGTGGAAGGTTTTGACTGGAGATCTTTTCAGAAATGACACCAAAACCCAGGCGCTCTTTGTAAGAAGGGGTCTTACTAGTCTAGCAACGACCCGTTGGCCACTACAAACGAGTTTGGTACATTGCCCCAGCCCAAGAACGATACCATTGTCGCAATGATGTCAAGGTGGCAGCTCGGATACTGTGATGCAATTGAGCGACAAACTTGGACGAAGGCTGCGAAGCCGGACTTCCGGATGACAGTATGAATGCCGCTGTCGACTTCCTTGTGAGGATATGACCTCAGCTTCCAGGACACGGTAGAGTCAAGATGTAGAGAATCGGTATAGCTAAGATCTCAGAGTTCAGCCAGAAAAGACCTTCGCTCCCGGCCTGTGATGGGGAATCATCAAATTGAAATGAGCTGAACACAATCAACGCGCGGCGATAGGGAGGTTGTTGGCGTGGATGGTAGTCCCACACTAATTCACGCACAGATTCATCACAGGCAAGGCAGACTGCCCTGGCGAGTTTATTCAAGGAACTAGTTTGGATCTAACGTCCGTCTTGGAAAGCTTGTCCACTAGCTACTCTGTAGCTGAGTAGACTAAGGCACCTCGCCTCACATGGCTAGTGCATTAGTCGGATGTGTCACGTAAATTACACCGCTATCTCTCCGAACTGCTCTATTTCTTGAACTTCTCATTTTAAAAGTCACACTGATAAGCTTGATAGTATATAGAATTTGTTGAGTCTTTATCATATAGTATACTCTCAAAATTGCTCTTTTCTATCTATCTAGAATAGTAGTCCTACATATGATATTTGGGTACGATTATCGGGGCACAAATTAGTGGTAAAAGTCGATAAACGTATCAAAACTCGGAAGTTGATAACCGCAATTAATATATCGCTTGGTAATCAACAAAGCTCAGGCATCCGCCTCCTACCTGTAGAGATTGTCCAGCTGAGTCCTGATGGTCTCACGTACTCGTTCAATATAGACCCCAGTATCACTCTTGACGTGATCCGGTGGCAGTAGGAGCTCGGGTTGGACACAATCGTACCCGTTCTCATGAAACGACATGGCCTTGAACACACTGGACATGCCCTCGGTCAGCCTCAGGTGACTCAGGCTTGGGATCTTGTCGGCGTTGTCCGGGTGGTGGGCAAAAGATAGGATACGTCCAGCGAGGCCCGCGCCAATCATGGTGGACACCGATGTGCCATCTAGTGGTTCTTGATCGGGTGGAATAATCACACGCTCTCCGAATATAGCCAAGTTGTATCTACCCGGACTGCTAGGGGCAGGGTTGAACTCGGGTGTCGGCTTGTTCCTGGATGTAGTCGAGAACATGGATATGAGCCTGCCATGCTTATAGAGACGGCCGGGAAAAGCAACTTCGCGGGTGTTGCTCCAATTGGACGGGGATGCAAAGATAAGCACGGGCTTTTCGCCATTGCTGGTGGCATTTATTATCGCTTTGAGGATACCATCGTGGACAGTCTCGAACCCTGAGGGCATGGCGATGATATCCACGGCCCATCCCTCGCTACTGACGGCATGGTTGATAGCCTGAATATCACTTGTCGTTAGTATTGAGGTAGGTTCACGGCAGTATACAAGGTATCATTGGCACGTAGTCACCTTCTCCATCAAGTCCGCCGTTTGCTGGCTAGCTTCCTTGGTTTCGAAGACACGGCCAATGTAGATCTCGGCATTGCTGTAGACTCGTCGCAACACCCTAAACATCTTGGTCCCGTGGTCTGTCGTATCCTGATAGTTTGTCTGACTGGGATCGATGAAATCGTGATAATTTGTTGGCGGAACCCACCCCTTGTACTTCTCATTGAGGCCGGTGTCGAGAAGAGCAATCTTGACCGGCGTCGGCGATGACATCTTGGCGGAATGACCCTTCATCTCAAGCACAGGGATGAGTTTGGATAGGCCGCTGAACCATGCATCGGATGATTGCCTTATTGCAATATAGTTGTGGCTTGTCGCTTGCATAAGCTTGGTCTCGAACGGTCAATAGAAAGGTAGACAAACCTGCTACTCGCATGTGATACGGAATAAAGAGCACGGTCCGGGGGCCGGTCGACCGTGAAAGGTGTCGATAGTGTGTCATACGAAGGAACTTCTAAATGGCGCTGCCCACGATGACACTCGGGCAGAGGGGCATTCTTGATGCATTCCGCGAGCCGAAGGGCGATAACCATTCTGGCAATGGCGGTAGAGTCCTTGTCCTCCGCGGGTATGCGATAACTAAGCGAGCGTACATCATCGTGGAAGTCTAAGCAATCTTCGACTACTCGAAGGTATTCTTTGCGTCTCAGGTCCTCTTCCAGACCTTCTTGAATCCAATGCTCAAGTTCGACGGAGTTGGAAATGGGAATCTCGTAACCATATTCGATGCCCATTAACAGCTTCGAGAGCGATTCCACGTCCGTGAGACCCGAATTATCGAGTCCTTGCCTCTCCTTTGCGACGCAGAGGGCGTAAGGAATTTCTCTTGTACAGACGCCGTTTCCCGCAAGGAAGTAAACCATGCCGGCATCCCATGATCCAAGGACATGTCCGGAATCCCAAAGTTGACCTAGGCCAAGTACTAGTTTGGCAGCCAAGCAGCGCTTCTCAACGGGGATAAACAAATTTCGTTTGTCCCTAGGCTCCCATCCATTTCCGGAGCTTTCATGGAAGGCCCTCCCATGGAAGAGGTCGGCCAAGGTTATGCTTGGGTCCCGACCGGGGTATAGTCGTATTCTTCGAGACGACAAAGAATTGAGTATGAGGACCGTCTCCTCCCGCACTGCGAGGACTACTCTATGCCGTCTATGACGCTGCTTCATTTCATCACAAATGTTCGGAGTCGTCTCCCATTCTTGGTCCTCACTGTACAATTGCATGGTCAACTGAAGGTAAGTCTCATGTTGGCAAAATACTTACTCGGATGGCGCCGACACTAATTGAACCTCGTGCCAGTTTCTAGGACACTGATCGCTTGACAGGAAGAGTTGAACGGATTCCTGGGTCTCACGGGCTAAGTCCTCTAGCTGCACCAAGACCTCCTTCTCCTTTACTTTTCCAGGACCACACTGAGCACACTGCTGCAGCGTTTGAAGCAATGTTTCGAACGGCGCTCTCAATTTATTACGAAGTCGCGAGGCCCTATCGAGCTCTTCCTTATCTAACTTCACCCTTTTTGAGGGCTGCGTCTCTCGAAGCGAAGGCTGATGAAGTCTCTTGAAGAAGGTGTTGAGCTCATCTACGATCCTGTCCGCTTCTAAGGCTACCTCCTGCGAAGCAGCCTGAAAGAGGGTGCGGTCGGGGTCGTCTCCCACTATCAGGTCAAACTGCCAGTTATCTCGTTCTAGAATATCGACTAGAGCTTTGAGCCTCATGTATGAGCTGGCGGCTCGACTGGCCTTGGGCGAACCCGGAGGCACCAGCCGGGGGTTCACCAGTCCTTCCAACTTCTGGCATAAAGACTCAAGATAATGACTCGCCTTCCCTGCGAGCTCGGTTCCGATGTCTTGGAGGTCGGCTATGTGAAGAACCTCGCGGAGTCCTGCCTCAAGCCCGATTAGAACTTTCTGTAGGGCCGAGGGTCGAACAACTTGTTGCAGAGCCTCCAAGGGTCTATATTCTAGGCGTCTCAGCCTGCCCCGTTGTGACCGGAGGGAATTGATAATAGAAACCGCAGGATAGCTGGGCTGGGCGACAACATCCATCGTGAACGTCTAGGGCAGGAATCTTCCTCGAGCAGGCGAGCACACCGATACTCACTGGCGCTGTGCTGTTGGCGTTGCAGGGCTCCGTCACGTGAAGAACAGGATGAGCTGGCGAGATGTGAATAGCGCATTGCAATCCTCACAAGCCTTCATTGGTGGGGATACGCGCTCCTCTCAATTGCTTTGATGTGTGACGGGGAGACCCGCTGCCAGCCCCGCTGGAAGCGATTGGATACCCAGTCCTAGGCATTCTCTCGTCTGCATCAATACTTCTGCAGCTTTCTATGTATGGGTGGTGCAATGCGGCTGAGGCGGCCTGCCCCGAGTTGTCCTTGGCTAGGGTGGATGTCTCTTTGGCAATGGACAAGTCACTTATTATATGATGGACGGGGCTGCTCCTCACGCTATATGACCGGCTGGCTTGGGCAATTCACATACACTATACTAGAATCTATGCCGCCTCACGATCATATTTGATTTTTATTCTATAAAAATGCCCAGGTTTACTTGGTCTTGGTAGCCTTATACAATTTTTTGCCCTCGGTAGGTAAGATCCAAGGTCTCCAGTGATCCCACCAGCCCGTTCGGACCCTTAGTGGATTTTCTGGGGGTGGGGTTTAGGGTCCCCTCGGCGCCCAAGGTACAGTAGTAACGGCATGACATCTGTCAGGGGGGGCCTTCAGCTCAAGCATCCTTCTTAGAGCCTTGTTGTGGAAGAGCCGAAAGACCTACACATGGTTGAGAGCTTTTACAGAACCCGCAGCTTCTCACCGAGAAACCAACACACCCGCCGGACATACTTCACGGAAACGAATACATGCAGGGATTAGAAGATCTCAAGAGCTGGTGGATTCTCCCCCGGTCCATGCGGTTCAAGCCGCCAGCTCTACCCGGAGACGAGGTCGATGGCATCGGCCAGGCCAAGGGCAGCATCTGCCCAGGCCATTTTATACCCGCCAAGAGCAAGGAGTGGAACAAGATTCTCAATCGCTCTGGTCCGCTCGAGTACCCCCCTGAGATGCCTGTCGACCACGGCGAGCAATGGGATATGTCATGGAAGACCAGGGGTGCGCACGAACTAGGTCTATCGGCAAAGGCAACGGCACCGGTAGCTACGGCGGCGGGCCTCAATATCAATGCCGATGCCGAAGGCGCCTTCACAAAGTCGGTGTCCAATTACATGAACTTCGACAAACTCGATACCTATATGATCCAGCCCTGGGACTCATACATTGAGGACAGTTTGATCGACGCTGGCATCGACCGCTATATTAAAGATAACACGTCGTTCTTGGGCGCTTGGGAGGTGTATATGATATCGGGCATTGTAGTTGCCCGAGGCGCCACCGTTGACAACGAGGCGACACAGAACCGGGCGGTTAATGTGGGAGTTGGCGCGGGAGCATCCGGACTAGCAGAGGGAGACTTGCATTTCAAGCATGCGGAGGAGCAGCAAACGTCTATGCGGGTTGGGAAGATGAGCGACTTTGTCTGGGCGATTCAGATCGCGCGTGTTCATAAGGACGTAGGCCATAGCCGCTGGACATGGGAGACACTGTGGGATAAGAAAGGGAAGGGCTCCACCTTTACAACGGAAGGCTGGCCCGAAGCACGGCAGCGCTTCGAGCGGGCCCGATCCGAGTGCACCGACGACGGTTTGGCCAAGGCGGCCGTGTTTGGTCTTGAGACTGGATGGAACCTCTTTATTGTCCCCACTAGTGATGAGACAGAGACGCCCTAACTACCTACGGTCGAGCTAGATAGTTACAGTATTATGTACTCTGGGCTTTCAAAGTTTCTCGATCAATAACGAGGCAGAAGTTCTCTCTGCAACCCTGTCTCTCTCCCCGACCAGCGATACCTCCCTCACTCGTATCCAGTAACCTTCACCATTTACTCCATCTGCATGCACTCTTTGACTCTATTACCCTATACATCTTGAATAACTTAAATAACTAATAAGAATTTCCCTTTTAAGTAAGAATTGAGATAAACTGACCACTGTATAGGTTCTCAACATATAGACGTTGCTCAGCGGTGAGATTGGCACATGGCAAATGCCCATCTTCACATTCCGAACCCCATGCCCCGTATTCTTGATGCATCTCACCAACATTAGGTCCAATGAAATCCCCTTAATGGCGGCAGGCTCAGCGCTAAAAGAGCTCACGTAGGTGTATGCAGTGACAGCAGGCTCGGGAGTTTGTCGGGCCCCAAGCTTCAGCCGCGGGGTTCTGAGCAGCGAGGGGAAAGCGATGCATCCCGCATATCTTGAGCATCCTTGATCCAAATGACAGCATTTCCAGCGCCCTTTGCCCCCAGCCAAAAGCAATGAGCGCGGAGGCAGGACCCATCAGTCTACTGGCTCGTGACTGTCGCGAGCTGTTTATGAAATGGGAGAAGCGTCTGGAAGAGGAATCTCGCTTCACAGAGCTTGACTTTGTCGCCGATTATTATGACAGATTCGAAGCATGGGCTGCATTCCTGGGCGTCTTCTCTGGCCCGCTTGCCTCGCTCGATCATCGTCTGCGCCGCCACCCTTCTATCCAGGACATGGTCATGCGATTGCTCGATATCCTCCGGCACAATCTATTCGACGGTGAGGTCTATCTTAGTAGTCAGTGGTCTGTAAGTGAATTCTCACAAAGAGAGCAGTCTATGATGCAGAAGCGACTTCATTACAAGTATGCGAGCCATCGCCCGGCTCACCAAGTAGCTTACCGAAGCTGGACATGGCAAGTATTGACGGTCCCATCATAAAACTGAACAAGCTCGGAATATGGATCAGGTCCTTGTCGCGGTCCGACGCCACCGCCCGTGCTAGGACGCTTGCTAAGGCTCTAAACCTTGACTTACGCGGTTTTGAAGAGACTGCATATCTTGCCCTAGAGAGCCTGTATCCGAATTGTACTGAGTCTCTCCGTCAGCAGCTAGCCAACTCGATGACCGACAGATACGCCAAACTGCAATACGAGGCGTACCGAAAATTGGCTTTGGCAACAAAGTCACCGTCCCGTGATGATGCACAAACACCAGCACCGCCTGGCATCCGGCCTCCTTGGACACCGGCTGGGTGCGCCGCCAGGGGCCCAAAAGAAGGGAAGCATGTCGCCTTTGTCGATTTGCCCGCATCGTCGTTGGCCACTGATGCAGTAAATAAAAAGCCCTTTCGGATGAAGTCAGAGATAACTCCAGGCTCTCGCTCGACAGCACAGACTAAGAGCATACTCGACCCAGGCCGAGCCGAACCACCAATGCCAGTCTTTGAAGATGACAAACATCATGCCAAGTGCGAGTGGTGTTTTCTAACCCTCGACAAGAATGCATTTCGGGAGAAGAACGGCCGCCGCGTTGCATGGTCTCGGAAGGGGAGGTGCGTTTCATAAATGCCTCTTAACAAGACCTTTTACTGAACTGGCTATTACGACTAGAGAGCATTATCGACAAGACCTTCAGCCCTACGTCTGCGTCTCCGCAGGCTGTTCTCAAACATTTAGCTTGCGAACAGAGTGGGCAGAGCATATGGCATCTTCACACGGGGAAAACTGGCCACACACGATTCACAGCCAGCCTATGTGGACTTGCAATAGACAACATGACTTTAACGCCATCTACGCATTCTCGACGCGAGGCGAGCTCGATAGTCATTATCGCCTCCTACATTCACAGGATGACACTAGCAGAAACACCACTGCTCAGCCCGAAATACGCTCGCTGCGATCACTGAATGCTTGCCCCCTATGCCTTTACGACCTCAACGAAGAGGACGAGCTTTCGGAAAAGGATACCTCGCAAGGAGAAAGCAAGATGGGAACATCCTGGAAAGACTTCAGACTGGAGCTCATGGCCGAACACGTTGCCTCTCACTTGGAGACGCTAATGGTTCTAACGCTTCACCTAATGTCGGCTATCACAAACATCAACGGAGACGAGGGGTCGGAAGGAAGCGTCCTTTCAAACGTGTCCGATCCCGATATTAGCTTTGTGCAGCCATCGTGGCAAGGTTCCGAGGCCAACACCTTCGAGGCCAGCAGTTTTGCAGCACCTTCGCCAACTTTATCGATAACATCTTTAGTAGGTAGCGATATAATTGCTTGGAACGACCTATCAATTCCACCCCCGGCCAACCTGGATGTGGAGGACACCACGGCCGTGGACCACATGCTGCAGGAGAGAGCAAAGGAGGTGAATAGGACCGAGCTAGTGGGAGACTATTCTCAAATTGAAGAGTACGACAAGATAGATTTGAGCTTGGGCGACGAGTTACGCCTAGCTTTTGAGAAAACTTCCGGTAAAGAACCAAGGGAATTCTTGCCAATTGAGGCCCTGGATACAATCGTGACGAAGGATCATGTGAGAACAGAGCTATTGCGTACCACCCGAGGAATTGAGTTTCTCCCCAATGATCGAATCAAGGATCCTTTAATCTATTCGCTTACCTCAGTTTTACCGCGACCGGACCCTGAGGTTCTTACTTGCATCAGACGCCAGCTACAAAATGCATATATCTGCTATCCCCGGGAATCCAACACTCGCTTCTTCCTTCCTAGAGACCGGATCACGGCAATTATGAGGTTTGATCAGGTTGTTTCGATTATCCAGCTGTTGGAATGCTACCAGAGTTGTACCGCTGCTGAAATCAACAGAATTGTTGAGCACATATATTGCAACTGCCTAAAGCTTCTCACGATCTCCATCTTAACCAAAAATGAACTTCGGCCGCTCGTTGAAGACGGTCTACTCGATGAATGCCTACCGCTGGCTACAGAGCCTAACACCGATGGGGAACTGCTTAAATGTCAGACTGCGGGTCACAAGCATACATATCTCAATAATGGACTTGATAGGGTAGAGCGTCAGAGAATCTCTCACTGGTCTTATGCCGTGTCTGCTCCTTATCTTGTCAGACAAGATACAGGCCATATTCATTACATATTAGACAATAATGACGTCTTACCAATCACCGATATAATGAGTAGCGAGTCATCTGAAGCGCCTGATGTTCAGAGACCGAGTGCGAAGCAGGGCGTATCACAAATTAATCAAGGTCTAATGGGGGGATACGGAGAAGTAAAACGGGTGAAAATTCACCCAAGTCATTTTGATTTCAAGTCCCATGATGTGAGTACCCCTTATTAGTTCGACCCAATTCTTCTACTAACTCGTCACAAATTTCAGAGTGTTAGTCAATATTTTGCGATGAAAAAGCTTTTCGAATCAGATCGCGACAGCTTCAACAAAGAGCTTGCATCACTGCTCAGTGTCCAGGATAAGAACGAGAAACACTTGCTCAAGTTATTGGTCACATTTGAAGTCAGATCTACTTCTACAGAGACCAATGCACCAGCGACTTTCTATTTTCTTTTCCCTTGCGCAGATGGCGACCTATGGCATTTTTGGAAAATGCATCAAAGTGAAAGCTCAAGACTTTGCAGGGGAGCGTGGATGGCTGAACAGTGCTATGAGCTCGCAAAGGCATTGGCAGTTGTCCACAATGAACGTATAAGACAGTTCAGGAAGTTCGACATCCAGGAAAATCAGCAAGAACTATACGGCAGGCATGGTGATATGAAAGCCAGCAACATACTCTGGTTCAGTAAAGACGATATACTTACCATTGCCAACTTCGGACTTGGTCGACTTCACTCCGAGATCTCCAGATCCAATGAGAATCCCCAGGCCACTGGAAATACAGCAACTTATCGGGCACCTGAATTTGACATACAAGCCCACAGTATCTCTCGAGCGTGTGATATCTTTTCCTTAGGTTGCGTCTTCCTAGAATTTGTCACTTGGTTCCTGGAAGGCTGGGAGTCTGTTCATACCGAATTCCCAAACTACAGGCTTGAAAGAGATATTTACGATTTTGAGGCTGATACTTTCTTCGCTATCGAGAACAGCCGTACGCCACAAGAGCAGGCGATCCTGAAACCAAAAGTCAAAGCGTGGATCGACAAGCTTCGCAACAGTCCGCATTGCAATCAATATATCACAGATTTCCTCGACCTAATTCAGGAGAAAATCTTAGAGCCTACCACGCAAAGAAGAATTAAATCTCCTGAATTAGTCAACAAGCTAGACTGTTTCCGCCAAGCCTGCAGAAGCGAATCTGATTATTGCAAAACGCAATTTGATATTCCACAGAGGTGAGAAGAGGGAACGTGTGATATGTTTGGAGCGTCAGCCCGCGATAGATTTGTATGTTTGCTAATTTAACTGTGTAGCTTGGTGCTAGGATGGTCTGTATTGAATTTTCTCAAGCCCGTTTATGCTGCCTACTTTAGGCTTTCCATGGCGATTCAGAATATGTTTACCTCAAATGTCTGGAGAAGAAGGCGTCTATCTACCTGAAAATGACACGGCGATTGGCGAAACGCTTGGGAAGCTCAATGAGAGACGTGACGATACCCATGGACACATTTGTATATTTTTCTAAACAGGTGATACCCATTGACTTCTGAATGATGATTGGAACAAGTTCAAGTTCTTCCATGACGCGGTGCCTCAATAATGCTGATAAGATGCCATCTCTATTTCCTGGAGATCATGCTACTTCTTGTTAAATCGCTGCAGACCTCTTTGCTTCAGGGCGCTCACATCATCTGCTGCTGCAGGTAGACACAATATCCAACGTTCTCCTTTTATCTGCCCCTTCGTCAGTGATGAAGCTTCAGTATTCTTATCAAAGGCAACTCACTACAACTTTAAAGTTGCCAGTGCCGAATTTCGCCTCGAGAGTATTCCGCAGCTTGGCGGGACTTTTGTACTTCTTTCGCAACACGTGTTCCGCCCATCCACTTGGTAAATAGCTATGGCTGGAAGCTAGGGAAGTCGTGGAAGAAGTAGAGGACATCATCTTGCCAGGAGGAGCCTGTTATCTTCGCAATTCTCGTAGATTCAGCAAGCAGTGCAAGGCGCGAAACTGGACCTCTCCTAATCATGCTTTTTGGGGGTCACGGGGCGAATTTCTAAGATATTAAAGTCTGCCACACCATTGCTGCGCCCTGCCTCCACCCAAATGCATGGTGCGTCCCAAACCATTCGTGTGTTTCCATTACCGACCTATCATCGGTGTACACATCTGTAAGACAGCGGGCGGGACGGTGCAGAGTACGAATCGCGCCTTGAGTGTGCATCACTAATTTCTCAGCGGGGCAAAAGCCGCCGAGTTGGAGAGAGCCACTGCCAGAGTAGACAGTGCTTTAAGAGCCGATTGATCGCCACCATGGCCTGGTGCTGCGCTGCTGGTCAACCTCACTTAGTGACGCTGACAGTAACACAAGCGAAGTCCCAGCGCATCTCACCGCTCATCAATACAGAAGAAAAGGAAATCATCATCTTTCAAACCCCGAAGTTCGCCATAGTACTCGAGATCGTTTGCGAACCAACTTGTCTGTTACAGAAAACAGGGGAAATGGATTTTGAGAACACTTGCCTAGAGTGGACCGAACATGATCTGTCGAACTTTGACTATGGTAAAGGGGAGGCTCATGTAGTAACAAAGCTAGTTGATAACAAGGTATGTCTTCAAAGCCCAAACCGGATTCGAAGTATTTATGCGGCGTACAGAAAACTACTGCGAGGACGATAAGTACAATGAGTGATTGGGTGACCTGGCATCAAGAAGTAACAAGTCTGTCGTCGGATCGGAGGTATCATGTTTGCTCACTCACATACAGGCATCATTCCTTCATCCGAAAGGGAACATACGTGGTATTTGCCTTGTGTATGGGACTGTCTTGGATTCTCTATATGGCAAGAGGGCGAACTGACAACACCACCCGCAGACTATGCTGTAGGGGCGACCCTGTGTTTGATGGTATTCAGGCGTCTATTGACCAACTCCCATTCCCGAGACCACTTTTCAGAGAAATGATCCGGAATCTTCAGGTCCATCCTGCAATTACTCGAACTATTGGGAGGCATGTGCCCTATTTCTCGGTTCAACGTCATCAGACTGGAAATAGTGGCGGCTTTAAAATAAGTATGCGATACTCACTATAGCCACTCGATCCTTGCTTCGTTCATCTGACGTGGTCTCGTACAAACAGCTTGCACAGCACGAACTTCGTCATACTTGCAAGATGATCTGGCAATATCATCAACATACCTAGAAGACTCGGGCCTGACTCTCGGGTTTGTTTATGGTTGCACGCAGGGGCATGTGAGACAGATATTAAAGAGACTGGAAGCGTTTGACCTCAAGTATAATCATCCGTTTCTACTAGCAGCGTTATTATCAGAACTTGAAAGAGGTAGACTGATGGAGCTCTTCGAGCGAGTTCTTGATCGATGTAAATTGCGGATTGACTTCAGAGAGTCTGGTCCCGATGGATCGCCTCTTGTGGACCTGAGCCAGGTTGAAATGACGAGCCACCTTGGTTTATGCTTGGAAAGCCGTGAGTTAATGAATCAAATGAAGATATCTAAGAGGCCGTTAGCCTCAATTATCGAGGAAAACTCAAAGTTAGAGGGCTCTCTGCAACAATCTTTCCACGACGAGAGATACAGATCCAAAATACCGATCTCTGAAGTGATCAGCTCTGGAAAGAGAATGAGCTTACGACTAGAAGAGATCTCCTGCGAGTATGACGATAAGATTTACGAGTGCAACATGATTCTTGATAACATGGCTCTTGCTATGCAAATGGTACGTGTACTTTGTCTCCATTTACGTCGTGCTCGGTTGTCTAATTGAATACTGTAGACATGGAACAGATTTGCGAGAGAAGACAATAGGCTCAATCTTGAGATAGCTCAAGTCAACACAAAATTGGCACGCGCCAGTACGGGCATGTCGCAAGACATGAAGCAAGATAGTTCGCAAATGCGGTCCATTGCATTGCTGACGATGGTATTCCTACCATTGTCAACTGTCGCCGTACGTCTACCTTTTCTCTATGAATGTTCAAGTCCGTCTCCACTAAATATTTTCAGTCCGTGTTCTCTACTACATTTTTTACATGGAATCCGGACGAGGGGCAAAGCGTTGTCTCGAAGTACATTTGGATCTTCGTCATTGTGGCCATTGCACTCACTAGCATAACCGTTGGGGCGTGGTGGTTCGCGACACATCGCTCAAAATCGTACTACAAAGCGGTGGACGAGAAAAGCTACCTTACAGATGGCCTCAGTGGAAGTGTATAGAAGACCATATGCTCAAAAAGGACCTCGGCCTCTGTCTCCTTGGCAAGATGCTCAATCCTGCCAGGCAACTTCATTGCCATCATACTTCGAATCTGTTCTGGCCAAGGGCACAAGGGATGATAGATGACAGACTTTTCTTTACGCAGAATAATCATCCCTTCACAATAGTCTAAGCCTTGAGTTGAACAATAGAGTTCACCTGGGCTTGCGGCTAAATGCTCATGCGAACATATAACTTGACTCTCCGGATAGATCTCAACAAGACTCAGCTCAGTCTTTGACTGAGTTTGCTTTGACCCTCGAGCGCACGTCTTGTCAGATGCTAAGTCTTTGAAAGATAAAGCCTCCAAGTTGCTCATATATCTCATAGTATGTTACTACTCAGCCATAATTGTTAGCATGTCTTCGTGCAAAGATAGGAGAGTTTATGATCCAAGTGGTTGAGATGGTCAAGGGTTAGGGTTTTTGCCTCCCGATCTTGGAGTAGTTATTGACCCAGATCCTCGGAACCGATCTCAGCTTTGCATGACGTCGATCATCCGCTAAGTCTGTGCTTAAGTCACAACCATTCCGGGGCGTGAATGAATGATTCTTACATATACACTTGAGGCGTCTTAGAAAACTTTGGAAGGTCCGTAGGTCAATTTACGCGTCTATGATTCGCCAGAGCTGGCGAGTAAGACCTTTGAGCTGTGACCTCCAGCCGGAACAGCATTGCAACCATGGCATTGAATGAATGTGTTCAACTTATTAAACCTCTTGCCCATATAGATGCAATTGAACTCGCATGAACAATCATCATGTCTCGCCCATGGATTCTAGTGTGCCCATCCAGCCGTGGAGTCGGGTACGCCCTGACGCGACACCTCCTGAAGAACACCACAGCCCCTATTCTGGCGACGGCTAGGGGCGACCCCTCGTCAGTGAAAAAAAACCTCCTCAAGGATATTTCCGACTCTGAAGACTACTCGAATCGGCTGAGCGTAGTACAGGTCGATGTCACCAAAGAAGACACTGTCAAGGCGGCTTCAAAACAGGCCAAGGAGTTCTTCCCGCCTGATACTCATCATCTACACCTTGGCTTCGCCATCCCGGGCATCCTTCACGCCGAGAAGTCACCACAGCAAGTTGACCTCGAGAAGGCGCTCATGACCTACCGCGTCAACACATTGGGACCGCTGCTGCTGATGAAATGGTTCGAGGAGTTCCTACCACGCAAAAGGACCGAGTTCGCTCTGAACGACAGTAAGGGAAGCGATTCACAGAAGGATGACAAGGTTCGCTTGCCCGATCATGCTGTGTGGCTCAACATGAGCGCACGAGTAGGTTCTGTTAGCGACAATCGCCTAGGCGGATGGTACAGCTATCGTAGTAGCAAGGCGGCGGTCAATAGTCTCACGAGAAGCTTCGATGTGCAGCTATACGCGCGGAGCGGTGATCGTGCGATGGCCATGGCATATCACCCCGGGACAGTGAAGACGGACTTGAGCAAGGACTACTGGGACAGCGTGGAAAGGGATCGCCTGTTCAGTCCCGAGGACGCGGCGAAGTATCTGGTGGATGTGGCCACAGGCAGAGTTGGACTCGAGGGAAGAGGGAAATGCTGGGATTATAAGGCTGAGGAGGTCCTACCCTGATAGTCACGGCCAGCAATTGAAGATGTGTGAACCAGTGGGTTTCTCATTAGCTTTTGGGATATACCTATAGATCCTCCGAGTCTACCCTGCACCGATGAACCACAAGTGTCGTTTCTCATATCCGCTCTACGAGGATGAATGAAATCGCATCAAAATAATGTAATAGTAGTACAGCACTTGGCTTCCTGGGAGTCATTGACCTATGAGAGGCCTATAGTGCCACATCCTGGAACGAGTTCCCGTCACCGGGCGACGCGGCAGCCTTATGATCGGGACTTCCTTCGCCTTCTTCATCTTCGACCGTCGCCGATTTCGAGGGACTCAGGCCGGGTCGCAGCGCAACTTTCTGCTCTTCTCTATCCTCAACCCGCATCTTTTGCTCGCCTTGAGAGGCAGACTGCGTCTTCTCCTCCTGCTCTTCGTCACTCTCCTCCTCTGAATCGTCGTCCCCCTCCACAGCCTCCTCCTTCTTCTGTGCAGCGTCTTCAGCTGGTGGTGTCTTCGCCTCTTGTTGCTCACTGGCCTCGCCGTTCTCCGCCGGAGGTGGAGGCAGATCCTTTTGTGCCTGAGGCTGTGGAGGGTTCACCATCGCAGGCCTGTCATCATTCGGTCCAGGCCGTACAGCGTCCAAATAGAACTTCGTGACGCCTAGGATCCGCCCATTCGTCTCGCACGCCTCAACCCACTCCGGCCGCACCACAGGAATGTTCATCTCGACCGCCTTCTCCCACTGGATGCCGCGGCCCTCTGTCGTAACGAAATGTGTCGTGTCGATGCGTACACTGTCGACCATCTTCGCACCAATGCGCTCGACAGCGCTCGCCAGTGACTCCCGCATTGAAGCGGGCAGGATGCCAGTTGTGATAGTGATGCCGCTCAGATCCGTCATCTTGTGTGTCCGCACGACGACGCGCTCAGAGCTGTAGGTGCCGGCGGTGGTGCGCAGTACCAGGTGGAATGTGTATTCGGTGTCGACCGCTAGACCAGAGATCTTGGTGCTGTGCATATGCAGCGGCCGTGGGATGTTGCCGGCCTTCTGGCCATTTCGATAGAGCGCCAGCGAGATCAGGTCAGCTGTCGCAAGCTGCACCGGATCCCACATGAGCACGACACTGGTCTGAGTGGCATTTTGGCAGCGGAGGACGGGCGGCGAGGGTTCTTCTGCACCAAAGGCCTGGTAGATCTGGTCCTGAAGCTCTTGGAAGGCGGACTCGGCGGCGGATTCGGCACCAGCGTTGCGCGATACAGTGATGTCGACTATGCTGCCGGAGGAGATGTCGGGAGGAAGGAGAATAGATGGGAACTCGATCTGATGAAAGGTATTAGCTATGCCACTGAGGTGTATGCATCGTAAATTGCAGTCGAGAATGAGACTCCAAGAGTAGAAATCGGATGGTCGCAATCACTCACCAGCCGTTTGTCTGGAGTAAGGAGAACAGTGACGCCGGCATCGACCTTGCCGACGGTCAAGGAGACGAGCATTTTGATTGCCGAAACACCACTGATATGCAATTGAATGATCTGCCGCTCTGAATTGGGAAAATGCGATTCGATTTCGGGTGGTGGCTTCGCGGCGCTGAAAATTAGGTTGACTTGTCTTCTGTGAAGCTTGGGACAGCTGTGCACTGTAGATCCTGGATTCTGGTGGCCTGGAACTCACCGCAGCTGCAACCGCGTCACCGAGGAATGGCTCTAGCCGCATTAGGCCACTCCTTTCAGGTACACCAACACCAAAAGCCAGATAGTCTCACGAGCATGGTAATAAAGCTGTAAATACTAATGCTCAATTATACTTTTTTTTTCTTGTATGTACAAATATGATATACTACAATACATGATAATACATGGCCCCAGTCCTCTGACTAGTTTACACTCCATCATTTCAGTCTCGGCCTAGACAAGCTCATTCATATCTGATGGTCAAGCCGGGATATCATTGGGTTCTCCTTATGTGTTGAGCTCGATTCTGAGATTTCCGAGGCTTTGAATTGCGGGCAAGACCTGAGCCGGCGACTGGTGTTCCAAACTTGGTCTGTCCGAGCTCTCCTTCCAGCACTTCAACGACCTCTTCCATCCAAAGCATCAGGTCCTCAAAAGGGGCTTTCCACAAGCGTTTGGGGTCAACATTCTTGATTTGCACCGTCCCAAAAAGCCGAGCAACATCTTCTCTCGGGCTTTTCAAACAGTCGCCCAGGTGCTCATCAGCAAGTTGGGGCACTCTGCGTCCCGTCGCATCGTAGCCGCGCTTCTCCAGCGCCTTCTTGAAAGCAAAGCTCAGCCGATCTTTACATCTTGATTTGACAGAAGCCTTGACGTCTACATTCACCGAAATACATTTCCACCACAGAGGCTCGGCATCTTTGCGCTGATATAACTTGGAGAAGAATGAACCCAGAGCATGTCCGCTGACGTCCAGGTATCTCAAGTGGTTCAAGTGAATGATGTGCCGTCTGCCAACCAACACGGTAGTGGCGATTTTCCCGAGTGCAGCATTTTTCACCCTGATAGTCTGGACTTCTTGCGGCACCAGGCCAATGTTCAGAAACTCCAGCTCGCGTCTCGGGGCAAGACGCAACTCGGTTTGGGCTTGGTATCGTTCACGCCCACCACGCCCAGGGCCTTCAACGTCGTGGTCATTTCGGAGGTAGCTCAGCGCATTGCGGCCAGTAGTGGTGATAGCTCTCCTACTTTGGTGAGTGTTGGTAGGTGACGAAAGACATGAGTTCCAGCGCCTCAGGGCACCTCTAATCATGATATCGTGGTATGAAGAGCACCAGCATTATAGCCTGCCTCAGACGTCTCCGGTCCAAGCGAACGCGGTGAAAGGAATGCTTCTTGCAACAGAGAAAAGTGAGTATCGTGGGAGTCGAGCCTGGATGAAGAGCTCGAAGAGATGCGTGCCGAGTCGATGCACAGCTTATGTGCATAAGGAAAATGCTATGCATCTAGACGGTGCTGCTATTTCCGCAGCGCACAGACTCTCTTTGTTGGCGCCAGCCACACACAGAGTCAGGGAAGGTGGCAGTGTGGACGGGCAAAACCCAAACGAATGACTGTTACGGTGCGAGCGAGGGGCGAGGGGCAACCACAAAAACCCCACGACAGCCGACTTTCTCTCGTCTTTCCCTGCATTCCAAGTTCTGAACACACCACCGCATATACACCCTCCCACTCCTCGCAAAACAACCAGAACCCCAGAGGGCATTTTCCCGAAACAGGTACCCATCACTGAAAAGAGTTTCACAAGCGAGAAGCCAGTATGCCTAAGAATAAGGGAAAGGTAAGCCAAAGTCCAGCCCCGCTGTCTAGCCGCCGGAGGGAAAACATGATGCTAACGAATATTTCGAACAGGGCGGTAAGAACCGCAGAAGAGGCAAGAACGAGAACGACAACGAGAAGCGAGAGTTGACGTTCAAGGAAGAGGGCCAAGGTTCGCGGAAATGCTGTCGATTCAGCGAAAATGCCAGGGGCTGACACAGCACAGAATATGCCCAGGTCATCAAGATGCTTGGTAACGGCCGTCTCGAGGCCATGTGCTTTGACGGACAGAAACGTCTAGGCAACATCAGAGGCAAGCTGCGAAAGAAGGTCTGGATAAATCGTGAGTATCCCCCCCAAACGCCCTTCCCTAAAATAATTCATGTACTGACATGGGCCAACAGAGGGTGACATCATCCTGCTCTCCCTCCGAGACTACCAGGACGAGAAAGGCGACGTGATCCTCAAGTACAACGCCGACGAGGCCCGCTCGCTCAAGGCCTACGGCGAGCTTCCCGAGTCCGCCAAGATCAACGAGACCGACACCTACGGCGACCAGGGCGACGGCGACTGCGGTTTCGAGTTCGACGAGGACCGCGACTCCGACTCCGACGCCGCCGGCGGTGCTGGTGGCAAGGAGATCGAGATTGACGACATCTAACGGCCTGGTCCGGTCTGGAATTAGACGAGCTTATGTTACACCCTTCTCCACACGTGCAGAGGCCTTGTCGCCAATGTCTATCCTGCCATATCTACCGTCTCGTGCTAGTGGCGGGACATTGGGGGCCGACCAACGTCAAGGAGAAGCACAAAACTGTCTTTCCTCTCAAACCCAAGGACTGCAATCATTTTTTTGGGTTCCTCGACAGTTGGCGTAGCGGAGGCGACAAAAACGAAAGGAGCGGAAGGCGACGACCGGGATGGGAGGGACGTTTCGGTCTATCGCATTCCTGTGGGAGAGCAACTGCATTTTCCTACCACCACTGAAAACGGGGATAGGCGTCATTGCATTCTTCTTAGTTACCATCAAGACAGACAGAGTACACAATACATGCCATGTTTCTCCAGAACGATATGTTTGATAATGTTTTGCAATTTTGAGTTATCTCATTACCCTGTCTGAATCGCTTATGCTTCAGAGTCCGGATGTGTGCTTTGTTTTTGTTCAAAGTACGCCCCTCCTAAGTAACAACTGAATGTCTGAGCATGTGTACATCCAAGAAGGTAGAGCTCCTTGCTAAGCCAGAAGTCCGAACACGCCTGGTCCTTTCCCAGGACGTGCCTGTCCCCAGCGGTTACAGCCGCCGCATCGCATCGGCGGCGTCGGCTGTGACGAAAGATATTTTGTAACAGTGCTTGCTAGCTTGATTAATCCAAAATCCGGCCCTTTACTCATCCCCTGAGTCCTCATTGTGCTCCGTCCATATGTGACATCTCCTGAATTACAAAGGTGCACACGTCTACCAGTCGTCATCATCGTCCTCGTCGTCTTCAAGAATAGTTAGCACCTAGGCAACATTTCAAAGCAAGGAACTGGAAGAAGAGAAACTTACCACTCCGACTAACTTTCTCCTTCCGCTTCTGCAACGCCGCCGCCAACGCATCTGCCATACCGCCGCCGCCGCCCGGCGCCACACCAGCCGGCGGCAGGCCACTTCCGTGCGGTCCCGTGTCATTGCTCCCACCGACTTGGGCAGCACTTCGGTCACGAATCTGGCTCCTATCCACCTTCTTGAGCGCCCCGATACCACCTGCTTTCTGGATGCCGTCAAGCACTGCAGAGCGGCCAGAGTCTACAGCTGGGAGAGCCGGCACGCCTGAGGAGTAGCCCGAGTCGCGATTGGGCATAGGAGGCGGCGGAGGGGGCAGGCCACCCATGCCCGGTGGTGGAGGGGGAGGAGGGGGAGGCACACCGCCCATACCAGGAGGCGGCGGAGGTGGTGGTGGTGGAGGAGCGCCTGCTGAAGTAGGAGGTAATGGTGGTGGTGGAGGCGCATTGGATGAGGGAAGCGGTGGTGCCATGGGCGGCAGTGGGGGCGGTGCTGGACCTCGAGCTGGCGGAGGAGGGACAGGTCGTGAGTTTGATGGGGGTAGAGGTGGTGCGGAAGATGCAGGGGCTTTGGGAGGTAATGGAGGAGGCGGCCCTGGTGGCACATAGCTTCCGGTATCTCGAGGAGGCGGAGGAGGAGGAACGGCCCCGCGAGCGGGAGGTGGTGGAGGAACGCTCCGCTGTCCGGTGAAGACTGGCGGTACACCGAACCTGTGTCCTGCGTCCCTCGTATCCTCGACCGGTTCCTTTGGCGGCCGAGGCGGGGCGGCTGGCCCTGGAACAGGCACTGGTCGCGAAGCAGCGGGCGGTTGGTGTGCAAACTTTCCAGCATCGGATAGCGGTGGTGGGACAGCGAATCTAGGCCGTGGTGGTGACGGATCCCTTGGAGGAGTAGGCTCTCGTTGGATAGCAGGTGCTTCGGACTTGCCTGACCTTCTCGGGGCCGGAGGCGGAGGTGGTGCCGGCCCACGCTTCGAACTACTACTGCTCACTGTCTCGGAATGGGACCTCGCAGCTCCGCCAGGGGGAGGAGGAGGAGGAGGAGCTCTCAACGCCTTGTCTGCCCCGTTGACAGGCGGAGGAGGTGGTGGCGGTGGAGGGGTGCTGTGTTGAACTGGCTGGACTGGTGGTGCTTGTTGCTGCTGCTGTTGTTGCTGTTCATTTCTCAGGAATTCGACAATAAAGTCCTGATTATCCTTAATGAAGTCATCCGTAAGCCCCTTTGACTTCAAGTCCTCCCCGAAGTGATCTCTCCATTCCGGGTCAAAGGCTTCCAGGATTGCAAACTCCGAGGGCGCTCTGTGTCCGTAGCCATTGATACTGCCAGAAGACGGTCGGCCAAAGTGTGAGTTAGTAGGCGGAACAGTGGTTCTCGGCGATTCTGGCGGCGTAGGAGCGGAGGAGTGCCTATGTCCTCCGAATATGCCTCCCAGCAGACTGTGTTTATGTCCGCCCGTCGGCTGCACAGCGCCTCCAAACGGCGTTGCTCTGGTCGCCTTGCTTGCGTTCTTTTCCCTATCATCCATCTTCTTCTTGAACTGCTTGGCTTCTTTCTCGTCAACAAACGACAGCCCGGCTAGGCACTCCTCGAGCTCGAAGGTGTGGAAGAAAACTCGGTCCTGGTTGTAATGCCATGTGTCGAAGATCTCCTGGTCCCAGATGACTCCTCTATTGGAAGGCTGCATGGCCCAAGTCAGCGTACACATTCCTCTATCAACTTTATCCGCCGCCGCCGAAAGCAACTTACCGAAATGTCAACCATCTTGATCCAGTAGGTATTGCCGACGAGGTCGTTGGCAAGCACCACGGCGCCCTGCAATCCAGTGAACGTCCATCTCGACTTATTCGGGTAGGCAACGTAGAGACGGGCGACTGCGACGGCCTGGATCTTGTTGCTCTGCTTGGGGACGAAGCGCTTGACCGTCTCCTTGTCGTTGTCGTTCAGGATGGACGGCATCGTGGTGGAGGGTCAATGATAACGAGGGCAAGGGAGTATCGGCTGTTTCGTTCACTCCTCCCTTAAGAGCGTCGGACTTGAGGATTCATGGAATGAGAAACGGCCGAGAAAGGATACCGCGGCAATGGGATCGTTGTCGCGTGTGTGCGAGCTTTCTTTTCTTTGAGGATGAGCCGACGTACGTAGTAAGGTATAGGTAGGATGAATGGGGGTTTGTACGCGTATAGTGGCGCTTATCCTGGCGGCTCGGCTCTCTAACCGTAGGTCGGTAGGGTGCTGCGTCTTTGTATTGTCGGCGAATCGGCGGGCTGGACTGCAACGAACAACGAACAATGAACAATTGGAAAAGGGACGCAGAAACGTCCTCAATGTCGGAGAGCTCGGTAGCGGCGCAAGGAGAAGAGGCTCGCAGGCTCGCAAGGGCTGCCTCAAGCAAGCTTCTCTGAGTTAGGCACAACTTTGTACGGAGGGCCGTTTCATGAAATGTGGGCTTGCATCGCTGAAAGTGCGCTGAAGTGCTGGGACTGGAACTTTGAATGTGATGGATCCCCCTGGTCGCTCTCAACTGTCAGTGCCAGCCTATCGAATTGATTCCCCGCTCTTCAGTGGTCAATTTCGCGCAGCAAGCCACACCTCCACAGACTGCACTGCCACGAGGAAACTTTGCCCGTTTACTAGCTACTTAGAGCAGCAGGCCTTCTCCTTCAGATTTCCAGAAGCTTTTCTTCTGTCAACGATGGCTGTCATGTCAGAATAAGAAATGGAAGCCAACTAGTCTACGGCCGCGCGTTTCTGCATCATAGCCACGACTACTCAATCGTGAAGATTTACACATTTGGAGGCAATGACTGCAGCCCTTCTCAGCGTGGCCTGCTTACGTTCCGTTGGACTCTGTCTGCCTAGGCAGGCCACGTAATAGAGCAAGACACCCGTGGACGGCGTATTGGATACGATGCTTCTGACAAGGCCGTCAAATTGGCCAGAAGCACAGAACATGGACATCACGGCTAGAATAAGAGTACTCTGTAAGAGATTGATTTAGGATCGATTGCAGTTTAGCTAGCCATGTCCTCAAGACCAACCGAAGCCATCTACAGCGCCGTCCTCGAAAGGGGTATCATTCAGTTTGAATCTACTGGGTGATGTGCATGTTGACACCGCCCTCCTCTGCTCTCTTCGGGGCACTATTCAGAGCCTCAGCCTTTGCCCTGCGCTCCTCCTTGGTGCCCTCCTCGCCAGTGGTGAAGCTCTCCGGGATGGCCGGGCCCGGATTGGCGTTGTGCGGCGCAAACTTCTGCTTGATAGAGTCGATGAGACCCTTGTCCTTGCCGTCCTCAGGCTGTTGCTGCTCCTGGTGTTAATCTCTTTGGCTTTCATTGAAGATACTAAGAGAAAGAGAAACTCACCTGGGTGTTCTGCTCGTGGCCGGTCATTTTGATGTATGATTTGTAGGTATGTTACCGTGTAAGTGGATGATCTGAGCGTCACGAGTCAGATGCATCTGAATCAAGCATATGATGTGTCAAACAGCTTACCTTAAGAAACGATGGAGATTTGTATGTTTGTATGAATGAAGATGACCTGAATTTCTTCTTTCAAGATAAGGTTTTATCTGGGATTTGATTCTTGTTCGCCGTTCCTCTTATATTTGTTCCACTGGGCACTACACACCCTCTTGCGCAAGGGCTGATGACGTCGGTCACCTAACGCTCATGCGTGACGGCGTGACGGCGGCGCGTTGCTTGGCTTCCGTCGTTACCTTTTCGCCCCTCGCGGATCCCTTGCACTCACTCTCCCACGCACGCCAACTGCCCGCCAGACCGACCACCTGCCAGCTTGCGTCAGTTGGCTCCCTCTGTGAAAGTGTGAACTGCGAACATCAGCTTATCGCAGCCATACAGCATCCCATGCTAGGACTTGGCGCGTAGTACGATGTACGGCTAGCCTGTGCCCTTGATTCCTGGGTCAGTCGCGGACGGATGTGGAAGGACGGTGCCCCGCATGGCCTCCAACATTAATGCACAACCGCAGCCAGTGAAGCTCTCGCTGCCGCTGGTAAGAAGCTCCCTCAGAATCGAGCTTCCTGTTTGGGCAAAAGACGTCTACTCACGATGTATTGTCTCCCCCGTGTAGGAATACCAGCAGAGCCTCTTCCAAGAGCTCCGGTCCGAAGATGAGCTCGTCATCCTGGCCCGCGGGCTGGGGCTCATGCGCCTGCTCACGAATCTCCTACACTCCTACGATGCCGCCGGCAACAACCTCATTGTGATAGTTAACGCCGAGGATCGCGAGAATGGCTGGATCGGCGAGGCCCTCGCCGAGCATGCGGCCATCAGCATGTCGCCAAAGGCGAGGGGGCTGACTGTCGTGAACACGGATTACACAAACGTCGGCGCGCGAGAGAAGATGTATGCCCAGGGCGGCATCTTCAGCATCACCTCGCGTATCCTTGTCGTCGACCTCCTGACCAATTTGCTCGACCCGGAGACGATCACCGGTATCATCGTGCTGCATGCGGACAAGGTCGTTGCTACATCGCTCGAGGCGTTCATCCTACGTATATACCGGCAGAAGAACAAGGCTGGCTTCCTCAAGGCATTCTCGGACAACCCAGACCCGTTCACCACGGGCTTCTCGCCGCTGTCGACTATGATGCGGAACCTGTTTCTGCGCAAGGCATCGCTGTGGCCGCGCTTCCACCTCACCGTAGCACAGTCCCTCGAGGGCAAGAAGAAGGCGGAGGTGATCGAGCTCGAGGTGCCCATGACAGACAGCATGAAGGACATACAGAACGCGATCATGGAGTGCGTCGAGGTCAGCATCCACGAGCTGAAGAAGGGGAACACAGGTCTAGAAATGGACGACTGGAACCTAGACAGCGCTCTGATGAAGAACTTCGACGTGATGATCCGCCGCCAGCTAGACCCCAACTGGCACCGAGTAAGCTGGAAGACCAAGCAGATCGTAAATGACCTGACCGTGCTGCGCGGTATGCTCCAGGCCATCGTAGCGTTCGATGCTGTCACCTTCCTCCAGCATCTCGACACCATCCACGCCGCTCATTCGCCCCCGCCAGGCTCGACGAGGCAGTCGCAATCCCCGTGGCTGTTCCTTGACGCGGCGCAGACGATATTTGATACTGCCAAGAGAAGAGTGTACACCGGGAAGCGAAACATAGAGTCTGAGGCATCGATCGACTCCGTACGACCGGTGCTTGAAGAGCTGCCGAAGTGGGCACTCCTCGCCGACGTGCTCGCGGAGATCGACCGGGACTTGTACTTTGAACCGCCAGGCCGGGACGACTCGAACGGGACGATACTGATCATGTGCTCAGACACAGCGACGTGCCGTCAGCTACGGGATTACCTGCAGACAATGCATGTCAAACCAAAGAGCGAGCAGAAGAAGGCGGCAGACTACGACGAGGAAGAGGACAAGCCATCAGCCACGTTCATGATGCGCAGAAAGCTCCGCGCCTATCTGCAATGGAAACGCGAGTTTGCACAAGTCAGTGCGACCCTGTTCGCCGAGAACCAGAATGCCCTCCGCGGGGCATCCGACCCTCGGCTCAAGAACCGAGCACCAGCCAACAAGAGGCGGCGGGTGCGAGGAGGGGGTTCGATGGCGGTCTCGATGGGCCGTGCTGAGAACGGCAGTATACTACCTTATGTCGAGAAACCGACAGAGGTAGCTGACCTGATGGCCGAGGTCCAGATCACAGAAGAAGAGGCGAAGCAGAAGGCTGATATCATTGCTGATCCATTGGATGATATGGATGATTTCTACCAACTTTATGACATGCAAGATCTCGTCGTGATTCATGCGTACGATGGTGATCAGGATGAGCATGTGCTGGAGGAGGTGAAGCCGCGGTATATCATCATGTATGAGCCTGATGCCGCATTCATCAGACGAGTGGAAGTCTACCGGTCGTCGCACAACGATCGGAATGTCCGTGTGTACTTCATGTACTATGGCGGATCCGTGGAGGAGCAACGCTATCTATCAAGTGTACGAAGAGAGAAGGATAACTTTACAAAACTGATCAAGGAGCGAGCGAGCATGGCTGTGGTCATGACGACGGATGCCCACGGTATAGAAGATCCGCAGGAGGCTTTTCTGCGTACAATCAACACACGTATAGCTGGCGGTGGACGCCTAGCTGCTACGGCGCAGCCACCCCGCGTGGTGGTAGATGTCCGAGAGTTCAGGTCATCGCTCCCCTCACTCCTTCACGGCCGCTCGATGGTCATCGTGCCATGCATGCTCACAGTGGGCGACTACGTCCTCTCGCCGAACATCTGCGTGGAGCGCAAGTCCGTCGGCGATCTGATCTCGTCGTTCAAGGACGGCCGTCTGTACAACCAGGCCGAGACCATGTTCCAGCACTACAAGAGCCCGATGCTGCTGATCGAGTTCGACCAGAACAAGTCGTTCACACTAGAGCCGTTCGCAGACCTCTCAGGCAATCTGAGCAGCATCAACCCGGCCAACGTACCGTCGGATCTTCAGTCCAAGCTGGTCCTGCTGACGCTGGCCTTCCCCAAGCTGCGCATCATCTGGTCCAGCTCGCCGTACCAGACCGCCGAGATCTTCGAGTCGCTCAAGGCGCAGGAGGAAGAGCCGGACCCGATCGCGGCGGTCCGCGCCGGGCTGGACAAGGACCAGAAGGCGGACGAGCAGCCGTTCAACCTGCAACCGGAGGAGATGCTCGGCGTCGTGCCGGGCGTGACGCCCAAGAATATCACGAACATCAAGATAGAGCTGGAGAACGTCAAGGAGGTTGCCAACTCCACCGTGGAGGAGCTGGAGCCGATGGTAGGCAAGGAGGCTGCTAGGCAAATATACGGGTTCTTTAACAAGGACCTTATAGAAGATGGTGAATAGAGCTATCTCCCCAATACGCTCCCCCCAAGACTCGCATTGGAGGTCAACCATGGCCATACACATACCATCGTTGTGTAATTGTGTCAAAAGACATTTAGTAGGCAAAGGGTAAGTTGAGATTCACAAGGCGGCGTCGCAAGAAGCATTATTATCAAAGTTTTGAGAGATGAATGTATGCACGTTCAATCTATCGTATCTATCGAGATGAAAGGAGCAAAGAAGCTAAAATGAAATAGCATCCTCGCGCGCATAATCATGTCTCCTCGTCATGCTAAAAGTCGTGCTGGGTATCTGCTTGGTGGTCGTCAAGGAATGAAAACCGGAAAAAAGCCTGAATGTTGATGGTGGGGGGAAAGCAAGTTCCTTTGCGGTGAATGAATCCAGACCGTTCATTAATCCTCTCCTCATGACCTTCCAATAAAAGAAAAAAACACTTCCGCCCGTCTAGCCCTCAATCACCCATCTGCCCTGTTTTCTCTCCTCGTCCCCTGGTTACACCCTCCTTTTGGTGCGGCAGATGGGTCGGACTAGATGGTACTCGTCGTCGTGCCATGATGTCTCCTTCCATGAGTCCTAGTCGTCCCTGAGTGTCCGCGGCGGCAGTAGCCGCAGGTGAGGACGTTGATCAGGGCGGAGAAGACGGCGACGATGCCGTTGATGATGGCGCGGCAGACTGCTGCGATAGCGTTGACAATTGTCACTGGGAGGTGATGTGTTAGCTGCTGTTTACTTCTGACTGGGCGGCGCGGATCAAGAACGTACTGAAGAAATCGCCAATGGCGGAGAGGACGGCACCCATTTTGATGTTGTGATGTGTTTGGTGATGTCTAAGTGGTTGGTTGGGTCTGAGTTCGTGACTCAAGAATGTGGTAAAAGAGTAGCAGTTGTTTTTGTGATGGATTGTTGTGAGTGGTGAGGATGGACGGTAGAGGTGTTGGTGGTCTTATATATCAAAATACAATCGAGATGTCGACCAAAGATCAACGAAGGTTGTGCATCATGTCACGTACAAGGGGGCGGAAAGCGACGTCATAGAGCTTCCCAGCACACGAGGAAGCAGCCACCGGCCACCGGCCCACGTCCTGCGGCAAAAGCCCAGTCTTCCAGATTGAGGCAGTCAGCCACCTTTACTCTTGCAGGCTAAGCGATTGATAGGCCAGACGTCAAGCCTACGTCAAGGAGCATTCGCTCCGTGGCGCACTCTACTGCAGGCTTGCCTACCGTTCATTACGGTTTTGGGTCATGTTGACCATCTTGGCCCATCCGAGGTCCACATTATTGGTTATCGCGAGAGCCTGAGACGCCGGCAACTCTTTTCTCTCTCCTGCACCTGCACTTAATCTCGCTGCTTTTCTTCTGCAGTGTCTCGGAACTTTGCACATCATTTGACCTTTCCTAATACCTAGCCTTGTACATTGTGGATAACGTGTGCAGTGTGTAATGTAAATTTCCCTGCCGTATTCCCCTACCTACTTCCATGCCCGCTAAGCAACCATACATACCGTACAGTCCATGACGTTAGCTCGGCATCCTTGCCGGTGGATGGTTCTGGACCCAGTGACGTCGTGCGGCTACAACGTCATTCTCAAATTCGTTTAGGCTCGTCTACAGCGGGTTCCAGCGGCAAGCCCCACTGCCCACAGGGCTCTGACTATGCCCTTTTAGGGTCACGCGGTAAGCAACGCAACGGTAAGCCTCACCGAGCACGACTGGTTTTCGACCGGTTTCTGGTTCTATCAAGTACACTGCACGCCAAAATCGCAGTGTTTCATAAGATGCGGGGGCTCAAACCGGTTTATAAGCGAGATTGTAATCTCAAATGTGATGGGAATTTTGGCCGTAATACAGAGTCGTCGACTTCTGTCCTATCACACGGGTCCATGCCCCCCAGAGCTTCGGATAGCTATGCATGCATGGTCCCGCGTTTCTCAACAGTTACGAGCTTCGTTCCGTCCCGAGCATGCCTCCTGCACAAGATGTTGAGACAAAAGATTTATTCCCTAGAGGTGTCCAGAATGTTCTTCGTAGAGATAGAACTGCTCCTTTCAACACGAGCTAGGAGAGGCAACAGCACATGGTAGATATGGTTATATTATTCTCCCAGAGGGGTATCTTCCTGAATGCAACCAAGAGGTGAGAAGAAGCATACACAGCCAGTCTAGGGCAGTCATCTCCGTCCTATCTACTGGACTCCCAGGACCGGCTGTCTTTGCATGGCCTTGCCGAAATATATGCTACAGTACGTGCTAACGCCAACAATGCATTGTTCGTGAATACATGTGCCTCCTCTCACTCGTTCAGCGATGGCGTGCGTTCACCACCATTTCTTTGCCGTCTTGGTGTTGTTCTGTTTCATCAAGTTGATCCGTCTGAACTGCTCCCTATTCCTCGCTTCAAGCAAGGAGGTTGGGCCTTCCTCGCGGAACCACTGGGAGCTGCGGCGGCCAGCAGGCTCGCTTGTATGCATCCTCACCCGCTGCACCTTGCGAAGCTTCACTAGGCCATACCAGCAGACGAGGAGCGAGAAAAACGCCGAGGCACCAGTGACTCCTACAAAGCCCCAGTTGGTCTCCTCGATGAAGTTCTCCAGGTTCATTCCGTAAAGTCCTGCAAGGAAAGTGCCCATAGCGAGACCAAGTGTGCCGACGCTGAATTTCAGATCTAGAAGCATGAGAGCGTTCCGGTTGGCGTCAAGAATAGCGCGGATGCTAGATATAGTGTGAGCAAACGTCAAGGTAGAGAGGTCAAAGTCACAAGTGTGGGCTTACATCTCCTCGGTATTCCTGATACTGCTCACCAGGTTGCTCGCTTCTTGCACAACTTCGTCGCAAATCTTATGGTATGATTCTAGCAGCATCTCAACTTCGGTGTGGTCGTCTTCCCCGCGGTGAAGGTCGTGAGTCTTTTCTGTCAGGTACATCCCAGACAGATCATCGTCGGCCTCGAGTATCTCCTCGATGGCGTCTCGGACAAGCTTTGCCTTTTGCTCGAAAGTGCTCACTCTCTTGGAGAGGACGAGCAATATCCTCAGCTTCTCCCGGTCAATGTCGTCCTCCAAGTCACTCAGGATGCGAATGACAGGCTCCCGGACCGTGTCGAAATCAGCTTCTAGCTCTGAGGTGGCAGACATCAACACAGCTTCGAGGGCCCGGAACTCGTATGGTAGCCCGCCGGCACTGGCAGATTGCTTCTGTGCCAGTTTTCCCTGAAGGTCGTACATGAAGGCAGACTGCGGGTATGAGGTCTTGGAGCCGTAGACATCGAAGAGCAGGACTCGGTCGTGCTTGATCAGCACTTTCAAATGTAGAAGGTTGATCAGAATCGCAGATGGGCGAACTAGGATGTGGGGAAGATTCGAGGAATCGATCTTGCGAAGATCCCGAGGTAGTAGACCGTACTAGGAAACACCGATTAGCATTCCCGGCTCATTCTCTTGACTTGAGATTTGCTCCGTACCCTGGCAATCAGCTCGCTCTTCTTGAACTCGCCGTCATTCAAGATGACCTTGCCGGTCTCATCGACCTCAGTGCAGCGTAGTCGCGGCTCCAGAGCAGCCTTCGCGGTTTGAATCCTCCGTCTGTTAAACATGGAATTCGGATCGCTCATGTCGTCGCCATCATCCATACCCAGCCCGCTTCCCGACTTGTCACCCCTTGCGGCCTGGCTCCAGCCCCATAGTCTCTCCTGCCATGTCGGTCCCTTGAGCGCATCTGGCTTGCGATCGGTCGAGTACCGTTGCGCAGCTGCAGCCGTTACGCCCAGAGCGCTGCGTTGTTTACGGAGTGGCTTAGGTATGATGCTTCCAATATCCCATAATCCAGCATGCAGTGTTGCCTCACTCCGTCTCGGCCTTATTGCTGGAACAGTTTTGGAGGATTGTCGCAGTAATCCGTCAATCGAGGGCCGTGACCGGTGTCGCCAAGCAGCACAAGCTGGGCCACTGCTCGGGTGGAAGAAAGGCACGCCTTCAGTCTGCGATCGCAAGAATCGCAGTAGGTTCCTTGAAGGAACCGGCAACTGCAGGGTGGACTGCATTGCGGCAGCTTTGTTGCACGTCCTGCGATGTGAGAGCGCGCGTCAAAAGGAGCTGCAACTTGCTTGTCGTCATTAGTCCGGCCTACCGGTACTGAGAAATTAACGATGGGAGGTTTTCTGGGTCCCCACTCTGCCCGTTAGCGTTAGCTCCCGTTCACGATACGTGATGTGTGCAAAGCAATCACGTACCCACCCCCAGCCCATGATAACAATTGCTAGTTTGGTAAGGATATCTACTTAGACCTTTGAGGTTGGTTTATTCAGTATTATTCTCCTTCGACAGTCACCAGTTACCACCGTGGCCTACAACCTACCAGCCAGCTTACATCCCTAGTACCTCGGATCATACCGCACATGCCGAACGCCGTTTAAGCAACCAAACATCATCTTGCTAATAACTACTTATCTACTAACTATTTTCATGACCTTCTTATGTTCTCCTTTGATTCTTAGAAAGTATATAGAGTGATATATATTTTGTAAGAATACAGTTCTTGACGTGGCATCGATGTTGCAATGAGACGAAGTGTCAAAATCCCTAGATCATATCGCATTTATCTCCGGTCTCTTTCATGAACTAAAGGAAACCACAGAAATGACAACTATAGAGAAAGGCACGCTAGCATTTTGTAAATCCCCAGAGTGTTGCCACTAGAACAACCAGAGAAATCAAAATATGAGCGGCCCAAACAAAATAACCACATGATAGAGATCCTAACGCACGGGCCATAGGCATAGGGCAGAATTCCATGTATCTAATCACTACTCTGTAGGAGAGCAAAGGCAAGGCGGTAGTCTTTCGTTCCCCATAGAACTAATCTGGCTCAGCAGTGACGTGAAATGGTTGAGGTTGTGAAATATCAGCAGAAGGCTTCATTCAACATGCGGATTGTTGTTAAGCCCTCAAGTTTCTCTTCGTTCAAGTAGCCTAGATAGTGGTAGCGTGGGACCTCGAGATAAAGGCCTTTTCAGTTGAAGGTAGCAACAAAACTTCGAAAACTCTTCTGTCTCAAACATTCTCTGCAGCAGTATCTCCATCGACTGGTCACCTGGCAACCAGGCATGCAGTTAACACCTCTCCGCGCCAGAGGCAAGCGAGGAGCTCCGCCGAAGAATGCGAAACATCGACCCAATGGGAAAGGCCCCAAGCGGGATGGCAAAGACGACAAGAAGGCCAAAGACGATGAGAAGCACCTCTCGCGCCTCGAGCAGCTGCCGGTAGAGGTTCTCGAACGCATCCTGGTGTTGTGCGAGAACCTCGTGCTTCCGCGGTGCAGCCGCACCATGTATCACAAGCTCAGCGGGGAGTCAGTCAAACAGCAGCTAGTCATCGCCGCCTTCGGACCGACCTGGGACCGCTGGTACGGCATACCCGTCACCGGGGTGCAGTCGTATCACGGATGGAAAACGGATTACGCCAGAATTGGCGGTGATCCGAAGTTTCAGGCAAGTTTGGACGGCGCTTCACTCAGACTCTGAGGGATGTCTGGTACTAACATGGCCGTAACAGAGCTCTGTGCTCAACTGCTCATGGGCCAGATTCGAGACCATATTCTCAGCCTACGAGACCTGGATTCGCCAGCATGCGGCTGACCGTCTGATTTTCCATCATGGAGCTGAGTTCCGTCGTACTCATTTCACCACCGCTGCCGACCCTACAGTGGTGACCATGCGTAGAATCTTTCTCAACAACTGGAGCTTCTTCGAGTCCCAGGCGTCCGCGAAATTCCAAGACCCTTGGTTTGTGGCACACATGCCAGAAGAGCGATATCTTGATGTCCATCCAAGAACCCGCATTCCCGACGTGCTGCTGGAGGGACCATTCGACTGGGACATGGCCCGCCGTCTCTTCTGGCTACGCTGGAGCGGCGCCACTGTCGACGCCGACTCTCAGAGCTGGGAGTTGACCAGAGCTGGGTTTCGGAATCTCGTCCATCCTGGCATGGCGGACCTCGGCCTCGCAAGAGTCCTCATCTCTCTCTTCGGCATGTTCAATATCTACTTTCAGTGGCCGAATTATGTGATGGACGAAGAGCTGGAACGACTCGATCGAATGGAGATCTCTGCGCAAAGGGATGAAGCATTCAAGGGCGAATTTAGCAAATTTCGTGCTCGGCTTAGAGGCTACCTAAGAGATCGGAGTAATCATCCAGCAGGATAACAAGTCTGCATCCTGCAAGTCAGCGATTGCAAGGAAAGTGAACAGACCATGCTAAGTTTTTGAGCGAGAAGCTAGCAAGATTTATCTCTGACCAGCTCACGATGAAGTCTGGTGATTATATTATCATTAGGTCTACGTAAGGATGCGTTAGCTAGCACAAGTGATTGAGCCTAGCTGTTCCTCAAGATATTCATGACGCCGCCCGCCTTCCTCGAGTTAGTGATGCCGTAACCAACTTCAACAATACCCCTCGCGAAGCGCCAGCTCCTCTCCTGGTCCTTGACGGGGTATCTAATCGCCGGCGGGATCGACGTTCTCACGCCCATCCGGCCCCATCTGTCCTCACAGACGCTCTTGATGTTGCACAAGCCCCTGAGGCCTTCCTCGCCCGCAAAGCGGCCGTAGCCAGAGCCAGCCACACCTCCGAAGGGCATCTGCACCGCGTACGTAGTAGCAAAGTCGTTGACGGCCACCATGCCTGTCTTCAACCCCTTGACAACAGCCCTCAGAATCGGATCTGAGTCCCGCCCGTAGACGGACGAGCCGAGTCCAAAGTCTGGCGCGTTGGCGTATTTGAGAACGTCCTCTGCGGACCCGGATGCCGCGCGCATAAGCACCATGATGGGGCCGAAGCACTCCTCATTTGCGATTTCCATCTCGGGTGTGACGTCTACCAATAGCGTGGGGGAGAAATAAAAGCCTTTAGGGTGATCCGGGTGGACAAATCGCTTGCCGCCAGCCAGCAGTCGCGCACCCTGGGCAACAGCGTCGTTAACCAGACCCTCAAGATGACTGAAAGAAGCATCTGATATCATGGCGCCAATGTCCGCCCCTGGGCCTAGACGTAGAGCCTTGACGCGTTCCTCCAGCACCGGCACTAGCTTCTCGTATATCTTTGGAGACGCAATGATTCGCTCGATGCCAATGCAGTTCTGTCCTGACGACTGAAACGTACCACGAAGCAGCGTTTCGACGATGCGGCTCAGATCTCCCTTCGCCGAATCAAGAATGATCGAAGGATCCTTGCCACCCAGCTCTGCTACCACCGGAATCAGAGCCTTGGCCGCGGATGCCGCGACCTTGTGTGCTACAGGCCGGGAGCCGATGAATGTGATGTGCGAGATGCCCGGGTGCGAGGTAATATGGCCGGCCGTTTGAGGCCAGCACACAACGGCCTGAACGAGCGCGGGATCGTGGCCATGGGCGATGAGGGCGCCGCGGGCAATGCTGGTGAAGTATGTAGCGCTCCAAGCGGTCTGCTCGGACGTCTTGACAAGAATGCCATTCCCAGCAAAGATCGCGGAGATGATAGGGCCAATCAGGTTGTGAAAGGGGTAGTTCCACGAGACGAGCGCCGCCACGACGCCGAGCGGCTCGTAGTGCACCGTGTTGGCCTTGTACATCATGAGCAGGTTGGTCGGGCGGCGGTCGGGGCGCAGGGCGCGCTCGCCGTGCGCGAGCGTCCACTGCAGCTTCTCGACGGTGACGAGGATCTCGCCGAGCTGCGCGTCGACCATGGTCTTGCCCGAGTCGAGGCACGCCACGCGGCAGATCTCCTCCTGGTTGTCGAGCACGTGCTGCAGCATCGAGCGCAGCACGCGGCGCCGCTCGCGGAAGCTCGTCGCCGCCCACTTCTTCTGCGCCGCGGCCGCCTGCTCGACCGCGCGGTCGATCGCCGCCGGCGTCGACGGGTTGATGAAGCCCAGGAACTGGCCCGTCGCCGGGGCGTAGCACTGGATCGCGGTGGTGCCGGACGCCTGCATTCCCGTGTTTGTTAGCTGCCGGAGTCACACACGGATGTTTTCCCTTGGCCATTTCAGTATAACGGACCTTGATGCTGGGATTCTCTAGTATCTCCTTCGGCTCAGGCGCCTTGGGCGAAGGGACTCGGTATCGAATGATTGGGCCATCGTCGCGTGCGTACGTCCACAAGAGCACGGCAGCTCCTAGGACTGCCACAAGCGTCGCCCAGGCGTACTGGGGTATCTCAATTGGTCTACACAACGTTCAGCATGAGGTAAGTACAAGCAGTGTAGTCATAGCAGCGTACGGTAGTGTCCGAATGCGGGCGCTGGCCTGCTCGAGCCATTGCGCGATGATCTCCCGTATCTGTATCGTCGGCATGTTTGCTGCTCGGGGTTGGGAACTTGAAGCTCGGGATCGATCTCTTCAGGGCAAAGTTGTTGAAGTAGCTCAAGTGTAACTGTTTCCGAGCTCACGGCATGCTCGTCGTTGAGGAGGTGCAAGGACGAAGAAGGAGCAAGCAAGCAGTCGGTGACAGGGGCGGCGGCACGCGGCAAAGAGCTTTCCGTGTAAGTCGCGGATCGAACGATTTTCCTCAGCGCAAATTTCCAGTGGACCCCGTAAGCTTAATGTTCCCTCCTGGACCCCTGAAAATCACCAGCTGGAATTGACCAATAGCGGTCAGTCAGCCAACACCACCAACTACCTAGGTACCTAGATATCTATGTATTACGGCTCAGTAGATTGTATTACACAATTACGAGTTACTTTCACAGACACAGATGAAGCAGTGTCGATTTGAAAAGGCCTTTTCCTATCTCCAGACTACCCGCTATTATGTGTTACGATACGAGTATATCTTATGTACAATGAACCCTCATCGGCAGCCCTCGCAAGGACTGCCCAGCTTCTTCCTCTCTTCAAGTTCTCGTTCTCATGCTCCGGCGCTCTCCATCTGGTAGAAACGCACAATGACCAAAAAGCAGTACAGGAAATCCTTCAGTGAGAGTGCTTGCGCCCATCCAGATGACAGGACCTGTCCCCTCCGGACGATAACGAGGCCCAGTCAAGACGAATGCCGCGGGAATAGAGTTGTATAGGCAAAAGGAATGGAGACGCTCCCAGATCTAATACGAATTCGATCGATGCAGGGTGGGGTGGCTCGGTGATGTTGGGGTCTGTGGGATTCGAGTTCGTCTCGTACAAACAACAAAGAAAATGCCAGAGTTTTCAAATCCACAGGTGTCCCTTTCTCCCCAACGCCCTGATGACAAGACATTTGACCCCCCACGCAAAACGCCAAAGGAGAAAATTCAAGCAAAAAAGTGGAACGACTGCCGACTGCTCTATCTCGCAGTCCAAAAACTCGTAGATCGCTTCATGCAGATCATCAATGCATGACAAGATCGGGGATATCAACAAAAGCGTGGAAACACCCAGGAGGGCGGATGTGCGCATTGTATAATACAGGGGTAGGCAATTAGGAAAAAAGAGCCGCGAGCAAATAAAGGAGGAGTTTATTGGCCGCTGTCCTTCCTGCTCTTGGCGGAGATGATGGACAGTCCTCGAAGACGTCCGGGATGGAAACGGCTGCTGTTCTGAGCACGGGCATGCTGGCCGGAATGAGAGGACTCTATCCTGCTCAGACGTGCCGCCGATGTGAACTCGTTTGTAGCCTCGTAGCTTTGACGTACTCTGTCCATTGACGCCCTCATGCGGTCAAATGACGGTCGGGCTCGGTCTATCGAAGGGCGCGCAGGCGGGCCATCGATTGAATCGCGATGGTGGGTGTAGTTCGTTCCGTCGCTGCCGTTCTGAGTGCGGGTGTTATGTGTCGCAACTGACGGAGGGTAGATAGGTCGGCGATCTTCATCCACGCTAGCATATTGCGCATGCTTCCCTTTCCTCGAGGTGTCACTAGAGCCAGAGGAAGTGCCATTGAGGGTCTCATCCGGTTTGGCACCATCCTTGAACATGCCCATTTGGACCTGCTCGCGAATGATATCGACGTCATATGGGAAGTAGACCTTCTGCAATGCCTTGATAGCGAAGCGGGGGAAGATGCAGATGACTGGGGTAATAATGAAGACGGCCCAGAACGAAGCTTCACCATACAATTGCGGTGCCGCCTTGTAAAAGTAGCCCGCGTACGTGGTGGAAGTGTACACGCCGGTCCAGAAGAAGATGAACATATCGCTGAGTACGACACAGAGCAGCATAATCCAGTCCCATCGATACGTGTTAATGAGGATGTAAAGGTTGATGGTAAGGACAGCAGGGTGCATGATGTAGCAACCCAATCGCACACGATCTTCAATGTTTAGGCCATTCTCAGTGATCATAACGCTGCCAATGACGGTGAGATATGGAATGAAGAAGCACATGACGGATTGATAGACACCGTCTAGCATGTAGAGCCTATTTGTTGTTAGCTGGCATGTCAAGACATTTCAGTCAGCGCAGCGCTTACCAGAACTTGGTTTGGGTCCACTCAAGCCGTTCAATGCCTCTTCGGTAGAGCTGAGGCGCTGCCAGAGCAACCGTGTCCGAGACGTCTTGATCCAACACACCCATTAGAATAACCGGGACGGAAGTGAAGAACAAGTTGAACATGAGGATGTATGTGTAGTCGAAGATGTAGGTCATGTCGAAGTTGCAGAAGATTTGAAACCAGAAGATGGAGAACGTCCAAATCATGTTCTTGTAGAAGAAGTTGCTGATTGTCTCGGCCAGACGTCGGTAAGACCAACGGCCATGAACAATAACAAGCCTCTGCAAGAAGCGGAATTGACCGATGGCGTAATCTGAGGACATGACAGCTTGCCGACCCTCAACACCAGCGATACCGACTCCGATATCAGCTTCCTGAATCATGGCGACGTCATTCGCACCATCACCAATGGACAAGGTCATAACATCCAGACCGTTCTTGACCATGGAGACGACAGCAGCCTTTTGGGCTGGACTCACACGGCAGCAGAGAACAGACTTGCATTGCTTGCACAGAAGCAAGAACTTCTGCTTCAAGGCATCGGTAAGGACCCAGCTGAGCGTAAAGCCATCGATGATAAGAGCATGTGTGGGCGCGGGTGGCTCGTGCTCCTTCATTGCCTTCTTCAGCTCCTCGTCGCTGCCAGTGATGCCAAAACTTCGCATGTGCTCATCGAGGGCCATCTCGATCTCTTTCAAGTATTCGTCATCAGTCTTTTCGCCGGACTCGTCCTCCTCAGTCTGGATGCGGATAAGTTCCATGTCGTTATTAAGTAGGTTGCATGAGAATCCAATGTTGATAGCCGTCTCCACCTTGTCGCCGGTCAGAACCCAAAGCTTGATACCCGCCTCCCCAAGTAGGGCAATGGTGTCTGGCACACCATCTTGCAGTCGATCTTCGATAGCTGTACCGCCGAGAAGGGTCAAGTCTTGCTCAATGATATCGGCAACTGCCTCGAGCTTCTCCTCACGATCCTCAAGAGCGGTAGCAGCAGCGTCATGCTGTTTGCGCCATGCAAAGTATTCCTCTTCGCTCAGTTCCTTTTCAGCAATGCACAGCGTTCGCAGACCTTCACGGGCGAACATTTCTAGATGGTCTGCGGTCTCTTTGCGCAGCTCGCGCTGTTCACCTCTCTTCAGCCGTGAGTAGATGATGCTGTCCGCACCCTTGCAGAAGAGAATTATCTTGCCGTCGGGCATTCTCACAATGGCGCTCATCCGCTTCCGAGAGGAATTGAATTCGATCGTGTTGAGTATAGGGTAGTGACGTTCTTCGCCCATGACGTTCAAGTTGATGCCGTCACCAGTATGACCTAGGACAGTAAAGCCCATATCTCGTGCTGTCGCCACGAGAGCCGCCTCATCAGGAGACTGTGCTTTGAAAGTCATCTTTGGTGGATCACCCGGCTCTAAATCAGCAATGACAGTGTGGCACAGAGCCAAAGCCAACATGAATCGCTCGTTTGCCTTCTGCTGTTCCTCGCCATGTCTACCAGAGAGGTCTTCAACGAAGTCAGGAGCGATGAAGGTCATGTCATCGTCGTGTAGATACTGATTGTTATGCAGTTGACGCAGACTTTGGATGGCCCGGATCTTGGCAGCCGCAATCTCGGTCCTGATCTTTTCTGCCTCCTTGTCCGTATCAATACCAAGTCGCTTCTGCATGCCTGCCTGCGCCTCAGTATATGCTTCACCGTATGGTTGACCGTTGATAGTAGCTTTCTTGAACTCCATCACGTTTTGAGTGAGTGTTCCAGTCTTATCAGAGAAAATGTACTCGATCTGTCCGACATCATCCGAAACGTTCCAAGACTTTGGAATACACGGCTGATCGATCTTCTCGTCGTACATCTCAACATCGCTGTAGATGAAGATAGCCTGCAGCGTTCTCACGATTTCGAGCGAGATATAGAGTGAGATAGGAATCAAGTTCTGGAATAGAATCACAGCTCCCCAGAAAGCGATGAAACCGCTGACTGGTGGTGACCCTCCAATCATTCCAAAGTCGAAGAAGTACAGGGATGTGTCTGTATGCGCCCAAGCAACACCGCAAGCGATCGCCGCAATGAGGCACATTACGATCAGAAATAAGAAGTTGCAGACGACGTTGAAGTTCAACTCCCTTGCAATGCGCGGACGTTTGCTAGGGGTAATGCCAGCATTCATCATGATTTTGGTGTCGTGTCCTGTGAAAACAACCACGCCGAGAACCCATTCAGTGTTTCGCAAGTTGCATCCTCGCAACAGCATGTTGTCGATAGTAATGGGCTCAGACATCTCAATTGGCTCAACGTCAGGATTGTCTGAAATACGCTGTTGCCACATGATGGCGCCACTGTACTTGTAGAGGTTGGTTTGCGGCGGCTCGCTGTCGATATAGAATTGTGCTCTCTCACAGTCTCTCGCATGCTTGACATTTTTGCCGCATCTTAGGGCCTGGCGGACCTTGAGATTGGTTTCGCCATCCAGATTCTTGGTCTCAACGTAGCAAGCTCCATCAGGATCGGATGTTGACAGGATTACAACATCTGCCGGCAACTCGTCGTCTTCGTAAAGTCGCACAAAGTCACCGACCTGGAGGTTCTTCCAGGCATCTCGGTGGAAACGGGCCTTACCTTGGACGGGGATGTCGTGATTGATCACATCGCCTTTGATATTGCGCAAATCAGACTCATTGCCTTGGAAAGAGAACCCAGATACCGGACGGTCATGTTGGGGCGCGGCCAAATGATCTTGCCGTGAACCCGCGCGCGGCAGTGGGGATGGCATGGGGCTCATCTGGATGTCCTCGTGCGCAGATACAAACGATTGTCGGTCGGATCGTGGGGAGACAATGGATTCACGGTGCGTGATCCTCGTCTCGATTGAGGGACGGGGTTCATCATCGCTACCGCCGCGTCGGTTGGACTTGGCGTCCTTCTTCCACAAACTTTCGATCGAACGCCAAATCCCGCCAAAGAATCTGGAACAGGCCTTCTTGAACTTCCTCCACGCCGAGACGTCGTCCTCCTGAACATTGACGTTATTCCAGTCTACCAGCCGGTGGACTGGGGCATTATTCAACACGTCATCAAGATTTGTTCGTCGATAGTCCTCGATTGCATCCTTGATCGACGTGATCACAATAATAACAATTATAGGCACGGCGTTCAGGCCGGGGTTGACGCCACCAAATATAGGGAAGATCTACAAACCGTGTTGGCTCACGCCTTTTTCAAGCTGCAGGTACAATCGCGGGGAAAGGGGGTATGCTTACATTAAGAATGACTAGGAAAAGGAAGAAGATGTTGGCAATATTATGGAATTGGAACCACAAATTCTTGGGAACGAAGGACAAGGGCGTATACTTGGCCGTCCTGATCTTATTCCTGGTGTAGTGTGTTGTGGGATGACCGTTCTCGTCGACGAATTCAGCCGGTAATGGCAGGTTGAAGAAGAGCTTCCGCGGTCCGGCGGCCTCGCTATCTGAGGATTCGCTCTTTGAGTCGTCTTCTTGGTCCTCGTCTCCCTGGTGATCCTGCCGCAGCGACTCGGAGCCGCCCGATGCCCTCTTCTTTTCCATGGCCATCGAATTGTTCTTGTTGTGCCTGTGGATCAGAGAGAGCCGCTTCAGACTACTACTCTTGACCGTCATCTTCCGAGTGGCCCATCTTGACCTCTTGGTCTTGGTGTTGTTGTTGTTGTTGGCAGCGCTGCCAGCCCCATCCTCTCCATCCTTCTTGGGCGCCATGATCTCTGGTGGGAGTCGCGGGCGTGGCCCCGATCAGCCCGAGTTGTCCGCCAGGCTGGCCCTCGCTGGCCCTCGAGAATTATGCGGGCTCCGACAAGTGAGTGCTGCTTCCAGGTTGCCGGCTGGGCTGGGTTGCAACGCGAGCTCGCCAATTGGACTCAGGTCGCGGAAAAAGGGAGCCGACCGAAGGGAGTGTCGCGGGGGACCGTGTCGCTGATGGTGAGAAACCGCGATGCACTCTGTTGTCGTAGCCAGGCACAGCAGACACTGGCTGGCGGGTGGGAGTGGTGATTGTCGAAGAGAGTGACGAGGAGGGAAATGAATTAGGAAGTTTTGCAGTGTGTCAACGACAAGGACAAGGACGAGGACAACGACACGCCGGCTGCTGGCTGCTGGCTGCTGGCTACTGTCGGATCCGCCGGGGGTTACGAGAAAGCTGGCTGACTAGGAACACAGAAGCGAGCAGGCGAGCAAGCGAGAGAGGGAAGTAACAAAAAAAAAAGCGACCAAGCGGCGGCGTGGTGGTACCCGGCCTTTACAGTTACCCGTCAACTTCCCTGTCCTCCACTGCTAGTTAATTGGGAGTGCAGGGCGGGCAGAAAGGGACGTGTGTACCTTAAGGTACCCCGAGGTAGGTAGGTAGGTGTTGTCTTTGTAAGTTCCGCCGCTAACCAACTAACAGGGACTGCCGCAGCGGGCTAAGGCGTTAGGTGCTCAGTCATTGGTAATCAACCCCCTTCCCTCTTCGGCGCCGCGAAATGATACACCCTGCTCGTCAAGTACCTCGAGCAACAACAAGAACAAGACTAGAAATCCTGCTGCTGAACAGCCAGCCAGCCAGCCAACCTACTACAGCAGCAGCAGCAGCAGCAACAGCAAACACCAACAGCTCAGCCTCAGCTTATGGCAGTGCAGCAGAAACGGCGACGATCGATACGCCAGTCCAATCAGCAATTGCTTCTTCCTATCTTCCTATCTGGGAATGATGCTGCCTGCTCTTCCTCGAGTCCGAGTATACTACGCAGTAAGGTAGGAGAGGAGCACTTAAAGGAGCACCTTATAGCATAGCGCATGGCTGTGTGCAGCGCATATCAACCGGGAATATCTTTCAAGATTGAATGGGTGAAAGGGGGCAAAACCTGAACATTCAACGGGCGGAACCAAGAGCCAGGCCAAGGGACAAGTCCTAATTTCGTCTATGGAGAAGGGCTGCTGGAGATCGGCCCCGGGCTGGGCTGTGATATGAAGGATAAGCTACCCTACCACCCAGGACCACCTTACTACGCAGTACTGTATTATTGGGATAATGCTCTACGGCGCAGCTCGGGTCGACTCCTTGCTGGGCTACCTACCTGATAAATGATACACCCGGTATTACAGTAGGTAGTTGCTATCTGGCCACGACGTCTTCATCTGTCTACTCCTCTGAATGAGGTTTGACTCGATGGGTTGGGCCCTAATAACTAGAGAGATTTCCTCGAGCAGATCAAGCCCCATACCATAGTAGCCTACGAGAAGATTCTGAGTAACACATACGTATGTATTGTCGTATATACGTACAGTACAAAAGTAGAATGCGTACATAGTGTACTAGGTAGTGAGGTAGTGCAAGTGCGTGGGGATTCATCAGCGATGTGCATCTCCCGGCGTTGTTTGGCCTCCCAGTTCCGCCCCGCACCTGGTCCCTCTTTCTGTTAGGTTACTACTGCACTTTCGCATACATTACACTATCTGGACGGGGCGTAAATCAACCAGCCATGGCTTGCTTACCCACGCGCGCTCCACACCTTCTGGGTGCGCGCTAGCTTTTTGTCCTCTCTTACATTCCTGCACGTCTGCTCGGCCGCCGGCGCCATTCGTTCTCTCTCCTGTTCGCGTTACCTTTCACTCACCTCCAGTCTCCTCCTCCTCCTCCTCCTCCTCGGACTTGTAATCGGCCCCGGCATCCGAATGCCCCTCGAGCAACGCCTTAACTCCACCGTCCACGGGGGTTCCGCGGGTGTCTCGGGCACTTCCCACTGTCCCAATCCCGCAAAGCTGCTAACTTGCTCTGGCCAGGCGGACTCTTGAAGAAAGGGTTCTCCCGTAGCAGCAGTACAATGCCAGTGGGTAGGGTACCTAGGGAAATAAAACGCCCTGGATCCAAGCGAAAAGAGACGCGCCAATCCATCCATCCTTCGCGAAATGTTCGCTACAGGTTGGCCAGCCCTATCGACGCATTCGATTCAAACGGCTCGGTCCATCACATGCCTGAGCGTTCTAGATCCCGTCAAACACGTTTCTGCACAAGAATTCAGAAACAGCACAAATCACAGTCGTACAACTCTACAGGAAAGTTTGCTAATTTACCGCGCACATTACTCCATCTCTTGTCCAGTCTTGGCACGGAGGCAGTCGACGATGCGCGACCGACCCGATCGGGCCCCGACCGCCAGGGGCTGCTGCAACACCAGATCCAGTACGCAAGTGTGCCACTGTTACGCACCCTGGAAGTCTGGTACAGGTCCCCTAGTACCTATCTACCTACCTTACCCAGGGGAGGAAGGTCTACGGGGACAGCAAATCTCATCATGGAATTGCAAAGAAAGGTCTTCGCGTTTACTTGACGAATCGCCTGTCCGACGGCGCCGGTTCGGACCAAGGCCTCTAACGAGTCGGGAATCGTGCTTACTCCCAGGTGAAAGGGCTCGGTCAAGGGGTCTCAAGTCTGTGCCCTTGCCAGCGTCTGCAATTGGACATGGACTCATGGCCAGTTTGACAAGTGTTTTATTTCCAACGACAGAGCGCCTAGCCCCTAACTAGGCTGACAAGCTCCCTACAGCCCCGGCGCGTTAGTGTGCGCATTCGGTGGCTCGTCTTATGATCCGATGCCCAGCTCGTTTCACAGCATAGGCAGCCTTACCTCACCTGAAAACCCAAATATGCCGGTGCAACAGACTCACAATGATTCAAGATGGTTCAGACAATGATGTCTGTTGTGCCACACGTTCTGTCAAGCTCAATAGACACCCTATATAAGTCATTACGGGTACTACAGCGGGGAACGATGCTACTCGAGGCTCATATGTCCAGAAGCTATCGTCAATTTTTCCGTGTGTTGCGTCACAGACCTGCGTAATCTCGAAATGAGAGACCAGGGATTGCTATGAGGGCGGCTCATGCAGGCCGTCCGTCCGACCGTCCGCAACTCCTGAGTTCTTAACTTCCAACACTGTCGAGTCTCGCCTCCTTTTTTTCTGTCACTGAAGAGTACCTAGGTAGTTAGTGCCTTGGCCGTGCCGTCCCATCCTTGTCCCAAACGGTCGGTCACACTTAAAGTTGAAGATCCTGGGTTCGCTGCTGACCACAGGATTGAAAGATGGTTCTGACAATTATGAGGATCTTATTGCTCGCATCTGGGTTCAATAAAAGGATCTTCTAAGAACTTTTCCTGCTCCTGACGTACTCGATTTATGATCCTCTGCTGCAAAAGGACAACTTGGATTTGCGCAGTACCCGGTGCATAATCATCTTGCGCGGCTGATCGCATTCTACAGTCGCGGTTTGGCTCAAACTCAAGAATGACGGCAGAAACGCCACCAGATGCATTCCCCAACTTTACCAATTCTTCTTGTTTGTCAAACATCAAAAAGCAGGTACAGTACATGTAATCTTGCCTTATTCCAACGTCAGTGCTGTACCTTCTTCATCTTGCCTCTATCCGATTGCGCTACTTCTGGATCAATTCGATCGCGTCGCACTTCAGATGGACAGTAACTGCGCTAAGACCCAGGGGGTTGTTCAACCTTGTGGGAACTCCTGCAGGACCTGAAGTGATGTTCAGACACTGTGGCCCCTTCCCCAAACCCCTGCTTCCCTAGCTACGCAGCATCGTAGCAAGTTGCCCTTTGAGCTTCCAATAATATTTGCATTCAGCAACCAGGAAACCAAAAGTTGCTATCGCTCTGAGGCTGTAATAGCCGGTAAGAAACAATTAGCTGCCTACATAGGGATACGGACCACACAAAGAAATCGACCGTTCAGCTAGCCACGTGATGTAGCCTTAAAGTGATGTAATTCCTGCCAACGCGAAAAGTCACGGTCGGACGCGGCTCCCATCGGCGACATCTCAGCCTCGCCTACCAGGCCGAACCGGCCTCGTTCACATGTGCGACTAGTCCAGCGTAGCTCTTGGCGCAGAGCCACATGCGAACATGACGATATAACCATTGTAGCCTTGTACACTCAACAAACGGCTTGCAGGGCATCGACGCGATGTCGTCTCGCCGCCCAGGCCTAACAAAGAGAGGCAGCAAGAACGCGAGCATACTGAGCTTCTTCAAGAAAGTGCCCAGCTCCCAGGCGTCTCTACCATCCAACTCGCAGTCATCACAACCGGACATACCTTCATCGCCGCCTCTATCCCAGGAATCCCCGCCCCCACCAACGTTGCCGACGACGCCACCATCGGCGGTGCAGCATGCCGCAACTCCCATACCCAACGAGGTATCCTCACCACCTCACTTCTCTTCATCGCCGCAGCCGGAGCAGAATGCGCAGCCCCGCGCCTCCGCCATAAGTCGGGACGTCATCATCGGTGGTTCCGACGACGAGGACGATGACGGCTCGGACGATGACTCCCTGCCCGACATCTTCGCCGTGCACAAGCGCCCGTCTCCGGTGCCGACTCCCCGGAGGGAGAACCCATGCGTGACCCCCAAGGCCAAGAGGACGGCCATGGAGTTCCACTCCTCGCCCTTGACCATCATGCCAAAGCACAAGTATGACATGAAAGCACTCATCAGCCATGCACGGAAGGACGACGCTGCTGAGGCTAGTGCCCAGAGACTCACCGCCCTGAGGGACAGGGACAGGGAGGAGGAAGAGTCAAAGGATATTGCCGCGGCTCTGAGGGACCATATTCTCGAGTCCCACGACGGCAATGATGAAGAGGGGGCTCGGAGCAAGATGAAGCTGGTCAGAGCTCTGGAAAGAGCAGAGGTTGCGAACGCGGAGAAACGCTTCTACTTCTTCGATCTCAAGGAGTCGGACTCTTCCGCGGTGAGCCGGACGCCGTTCCCGAAGACAGCTGCGAAGGGAGTGTGGTCATTCTTGCGAGATCCGAAAGAGAGGCAGTCAAATTTCATTGTTGGACAACCACATGTGATCCAGTCCCGAAAGCAGAACCTGCCAGATGAGATCTTCCTCTGGATTCTAGATGAGCTCGCCTCCGAGAGATCAAATCAGCTGCAAGATGCGTATGTGAACTTGCTCGGTCAATGCCCTCAGCAGGTCCATCGTCTTCTTGGCCAAGAACGCTTGATTTCCCTGTTCTCGAACCTCGGAGCAACACAGGATATCAAGGACCTATCATCACCAATCAACTTCATCGAAGAGGCTAGCCAGCCCTACGCTGGGCGAGACTGGTCCTGCCTTCGTGCTACATTGGCATTCATTACCAGAGCGGCAGCTGACCTTGATGCAAACTCCCTTACAGTAGCAATGAAGATTCTTTTGCGGCTGGCCATGGACACTTCTCTCATGGATGGCAACTACATTCGCACAGCGTATCAATTAGCGGTACAGGCGTTAATACCAAATGTTGCCGGGAGTGCTTGGGACAAGTTTGTGAGTATGCTGAGTGTATTTCTCGCAGCTCTGTACTAATATGCTGTAGTGCGAAGAAGCATGCACGTCTCTTCACAATGCTGTGCAAGATCCGAGCATGCTATACTTGCCGTTGGCCTACATGGATCCCAGCGTACCCAGGGTCCATGAGCTGAGGAAGCGAATGGCCACCGCTTACTTCTTTGACGACCTCACCCGAGTAAATCTACAGCCAGGCGCCTTCAGCATTCGGGCAGTAATCGATAGGCTCAGGGCGGACGAGTTCATTGTTGATGCCCAAACGAAATACCACGAACTACACGCATTAATTAAGCTGCTTGACTGGGCCGTAGATGACGGCTCAAGGTGGTCGTATGACACGCCGGCATCACAGGCGCAATTCGACGCTGAAATCGACGAGCTGTCAAAGATCTTCAAGATCATGCTGAGCCGGATGAACCCTAATGATAAGGGCATTCACACACTGAGGATAGATACCAAAACCACGATCGAATGGGTCCTCGACCGGCTCGTCCATTCGATACGCACGAAACCACGGCCGAAGGTTAGTATACTAGACGCGTCAGACAAGGAGGACCCCTTCCTGCCGAAGCAGCAGGAATACATGAAGAAGTTCCTTCTACCCAAAAAGGAGAAGAAGGTAGCCGAGGTCGGCAGTTAGTTCAGAAAGAGCAGCTTCTATGAACAGCAGCTGAATGAATATATTAGCATGGTAGCAACCCATTGTATTGTACAAGCTCTCTAAGACACTACGCCTGCAACCGTGATGGGGCATGCCTCGAATGATGACCTGACGCAGTAGCCGGCCCCCGCCATGATGATCCTCCGTGAACGTCTCGAACAGAAAGCAGGTGCATGAATCAGTCAAAGAACTTGCGGTTGGGGTTTTTGCCGAACAGTGCCTCTCGCATCGCCGGTAGAGCGCTCTCCTTGAGAATCTCCAGTCGGGCCTCAACCGTGTTGTCAATCTCGATCTTACCAGCTCCGCCCACAATCAACACACCACCAGCACTAGACGTAGTCAGCACAGATTCTCAGTAAAAGGCACCTCGAGAACTCACCTTCCCTCAGCTACGGGATTGCTCTCATCGATTGTTGCCGACACATCCTTGCCCAGCTCCTTCTTGTACTCCTTGGCGGCCTCCTCGATGGCCTTCTTGACGAGGTCGTAGTCGGCCTTGCGCGCGCGGATCTGCAGCTCGGGCTCGTTCATGGCGTAGAAGCCCTCGAGGACGAGACCCTTGAGGACGGCGGCGTACTTCTTCTTGTCCTTTGCGGTGTCGGCGAGCTTCTTGGTGGCCTGCTCGAAGATGTCGTCGAGCAGCTCCTGCCGCGCGGCCAGCACCTTGAGCCGGGTCTTGTTGGCGACGGTGGACCGCGTGATCTGCTGCGACATGGTGGCCTGCTTGAACTTCTTCTCGTACGACGAGTCGATCGCGTCCGTCTCCTGGCGCACCAGCTTCGACTTCTCGATGGCGAACTCCTCCTCCGCCTTGATCTGGATCTCGCGCGCCTTCTCGGAGGCTTCCTGCTTGATGAACGCCGTCATCTTGCGGAGCTCCTGTCCGACCTGCAAACGCAAAAGGGAGACATGGTCAGTGACTGTGGGCTATGGGGATGGTGAGGGGGTCCTGCTGCGGCTGCTTACTTGGTCGTCGGACAAGGCGTGGACTTGTGACATCTTGGGCGGTGGTGAGGACTGGTGGCTGCGGGAAATGAGGGTTTATCGCTGCTCCTCAATCGGAGGAAGCCAGAGCTTGGGGATCAAAGCACAGGGAGCTGGGTGGAGATGGACAGAGACAATAGCAGTAGTGTTGATGGTCCAATTCGATATGCAAGTCGGGTTCGTGATGCGGTTCCCTAGGCAAGCTGCTATGCTGTTCGATGACGGGGCCTGTCCAAGGACAATGGAGCTCTCCTCACAAGCACCAAGGTCCCAGTAGCTCGCTTCAGCCACATCTCACCCCACAGTTCAGCTCAAGTGAGGCTGGAGCCAATCACAACTGGCTTTCCGATAACGTAATCCGTTCCCGCCTGCGGCGCCTTAGAGGCTATCTTAGTGAGCTTAGCACCTCGACAGTCGCCCGACACCTCCACACCGCCACAGCCGCTCAGCAAGTCTAATTGGTTGGTGACCTGCCAGACAGGCCATCCGCAAGCGTAATGCAGGGACAGCTGGATGGTATTCATGGCCATAAGGACCGTCCCTTGCGTTTCGTTTTCCCGTGTCACCTGTGCCATTGCTATTCCTGTCCGACCTGTACACAATTACTGAATTTCTAGACAACCATTCCCCTCCTACGAACCCAGGTGATCATCTGTCTGTCTTGCTGCAACTGCGTGGCGGACGTCGAAGCGCTGAAACACTGCTGCTGTCACAAGTGCCGAGGGCGTGCGTCGTCGTCATTGATCAAAGACGACTTGATCCTTGCGGACCTCAACACTTTCCTACGAATCCAAACTCACCGCGATACGATTCTCAACAGCGGTCGGTCCCGACCAGCCTCCTCGGTATTTCCAAAACATTTATGTGAAGCGGCCTTCACGATCTGCCACTTGCGCCAGATGACCTCTGGTCCAGGTCGCCTGGCGCAATGGGGTCTCTCGGCGGCTTATCCCCAGGAGGGAGCATTGCAGTACGTCCCACGCCCGAGAACAAGGTTGTCTTGCAAGGGGAATCACGGCTAACACTTTTTTGTAGCTTGGAATAGTAGTCGGGTTGTTATCAACAGGTGTTCAGAGCTTGGGCTTGACACTGCAGCGAAAGTCACACATCCTCGAGGACGAGAAAGGCCCGCATGTCGTGCCGCGACCACCATATAGGAGGAGGAGATGGCAGCTGGGGATGGGAATGTTCATCATAGCGAATCTGCTAGGGAGTTCCGTGCAAATCTCGACGCTACCGCTGCCAGTCTTGTCGACGCTGCAGGCCTCCGGCTTGGTGTTCAACTCGATATGCGCCACGCTGATACTAGGCGAACCGTTCACGAAATGGTCGTTTTGGGGGACGTTGCTGGTGTCCGGGGGCGCGGTGCTCATCGCCATATTCGGAGCGATCCCGTCGCCGGCGCACAATCTGAAAGAGTTGCTGCTTCTGTTCGAGAGGAAGGCGTTCATAATCTGGATGTCTCTACAGGCAGTCTTCGTGATTGCTATCTGCGTCGTCACAGAGCTTGTGAGCTCCTTCTCAAGCCTCGCACAGAATTCACGCTTCCGGCTCCTCCGTGGGCTGTCTTACGGCTGCATCAGCGGCATTCTGTCCGCGCACTCGCTGCTGATGGCAAAGTCAGCCGTCGAGCTGATCATCAAGGCGATCGTGGACGGCGCCAATTATTTCGTCCATTGGCAGTCGTGGATGATCGTGTTGGCGCTCGTGTTCCTGGCTCTGAGCCAACTCTACTACCTCCATCGAGGCTTGAAGCTCGTTTCAACATCCGTCCTTTATCCGCTCGTCTTCTGCGTCTACAACATCATCGCCATCCTCGATGGCTTAATCTACTTTAACCAAACCGAACTTATCACACCGCTACAAGCATGTCTCATCACTCTTGGGACCGTCATCCTACTCTCTGGCGTCCTTGCATTATCATGGAGGCTTAGCGACGAGCAACACCAACCGGCTGTCGGACAATCGTCCCTTGCTCCAGGCCTTGGGCTGGTGGAGGACACCGATGGCGAGGAGGAAGAAGAGGAGTTGCTTCTAGGCTCCGATGCCGGAAACAACGACGAGGAAGATGTCGTGCCAAAGACGTACTCGTACCAGACATTCGGCCCAGAGCAGGCCGAGAATGGTGTCAAATCAAAAGCGACGCCATTGACGCCGACGCGCAGGAAGTCTGTTGCCACATCCATAAGGACAACGACTCCACGCTGGCAAGAGAGGGCTGAGATTTGGGGAGAGCTGGATGATCAAGACGTCCCCAAGTCCCCTATGCTGCATGTGAACAGAAGTCGAAGCTCAACACTGCCAGCTCTGGGCGAGTCAGCGGCCCTTCTACCGACCAGGAGAGGTGTCAGCGGCGAATCCCCATTTAGCATCGAGGGCCGCCAGGCAAGCCCTGCAGGGCCGAGCCCCCGCCCAGGACGGACGTTCCGGCGGCGGCGCAAGTCGACAGGCTTTCCGGGCTTTACAGCGAGGAGGAAGAGCTCTGGCGGGCTTCACGATACCATAGGAGGCCTCTGGAAGCTGCGATGGTGGAAGAACAACAAGGGCAAAGACTCGCCGCGGTCCCGACCAGTCAGTTCTGCGTTTGCAGAGTATAGAGATGACCCCGGAGAGGGGGAGGGGGAGGGGGAGGGCGGGCCCAGCAATGCTGGCGGTGATGGAAGCCCTTCGACTAATAGGAGGAGGCAAGATCGTGATTCCCCTGTATAGATGTAATATATACCCCTTTGGAGCAGGCTGGCTTGTGGATGTTGTTGTATGATGGGTTGGAGGTGTTGATGTCTCGACCAGTGTAGCAGAGTTGCATTGCATGCATGGTATACCATAGAAACACAGGCTAGCTAGGATAGTCATATTGTCAGAAGTCATGAATGGAAGTTTTCTCTGTACATCATTCATTGCAGAGGAAATAGGGCCGTACAGCCTACGTTACTCGTTCGAATTCTCATCCCCTGGAAAGTATATACGCACTCTATCATCTCCCGTGTCTAACGCTATTTCGATGCTGTGCTCAGCACACTAGAGTGACAAAAGCTAGTAAAAAAAGGATATATGTGACAGGAAAGGAAAACGAAGTGAGCATATGAGGACGAGAAATCCCTTTGAACCAGCGCGAAGAAGCAGACGATGCCCCCGGGTTCCCCCTAGATGGAGTATGTGGAATGCCTTATATAGACATTCTAGCTTGACACCGGGGCACAGGATTATCGAACAAACCTGACAGCAGCCCCCTGCACGACAGATCCACGGCGTACGTTTAGAGATTACTGAAGCCCAACCCATCCACCCTCCCTGAAGAAAAAGTTGCTGCCTGTCAACGGCGAAGTCCTCAATTGGCGAGAGCCGCACTATCGGGGGGATCGTGACGAAACAAATCAAAGATCGTCGCGACGTTCCTGGCCCCCTTAGATACCGCGGTAGCCGGACTTCTCGTCGATGTGGCGGAAACGCTCCATCTCCTTGCGTTCCTTGAGCAGGCATGCGGTGGCAACAATCAGCAGGGCGTCGATGCCGGCCATGCCGAAGACGGCCGTGAAGATGTCGTCGACGAAGACGTTGGCGAAGCTAGCCAGGGGCGACGCGCAGCCGCGCACCATGGCGGCGGCTGCGGGACTCGGGCAGGTGGCGTCGGTGATAAAGGCTGGAGATGAGCTGTTGAAGTATCCGCAGCAGGCAAACTGGCGAATTGGTCAGTCATGATATTCAGCAGTAGATAGGGGAGGGGTAACAGACCTCAGTCTGCATGAGCTCCTGGGTCTGCGCCGTTGCTGCCCGCCACAAAGGAGCCAGTGTCTCCTTTGACTTAAGGGTAAGGATCCACAGGTAGAGACCGACGATGACTGAGAAAAGAGCGGTGATGGTTGCCATGTAGCCGCTGACCTTCAACCAGCCACGGGTCGGCATCGTGATGGCGGGGATCGTCGCCGCGAAGGTGACAAAAACGAAAATTGAGTTGACGATACCAGCTATACGACTTGTCAGCCTTATGCATCTCCTTTTCCTCGACTGCAATACACCAACCTGTGAGGGGAAACTGCTGGTACAGGATATTCCGGGCTGCCTGTCCTCCTGTCGTCGGCGCATCGAACATCGAGTTCTTGACGATGATCGAAAAGCCGAGCATGACGGCACCCATCGCGACGAAGAGGACGTCAGCGGCCACATAGGCCATGAGCACCTTGTTCGCCATCCTTTCTACTACTGCTACAGAGCACACCCGACGAGACTCGGCTGCCCTTGACTCCTCCTAGCGTTGACCCGTCCCTCCTCTTTCGGGAACGAGATTGAACCTCTTAGCTCTTCAGATTGACGACCGGCGTCTTTTTTGCGATTATAGATTGTATTTTCCTCGTCGAAGTGAAAAAATGAGCGGTAAATCAGCGAGTTAATCGTCCTGCAAGATTCCTCCACCAAGGCAACACACACGTACACACCAAGAAGAGAAGGGGATTAACAGAAGTCGAGAAGAAAAGAACGTAACGGGCGAGACGCTGAACAGCAGCAGCAAAAAAGCACTGAACAGATCCAAGAAGCAAAGAAAAGGGAAGAATTGTGCCCTGACGGGAAGAGAAAGAATTGGGACAAGGAGACCCGAAAGAATCGATCGACCCACTGAGTCTTGTCTCGAAGCGCCCAGGCACAACCCAAGAAACGAACCAGCGGAGGAAGAAGCCAAAAAGAGGAAGAAGCGAAGACGCAAAGCACGAAGAGGAGACGGACGAGACGACTTGCCAGAGTGTCACACCTAGTCACGAAGAGAAGGGAGAGGAGCGCAGAGCAGAGCAGAGAGAGAAACACGGCAGAAACAGCGCCAGGGCCAGCATGGAGCCAGCATGGAGCGATACACCACGTAACGCAAAGTAACGCAACGCAACGTAAAGCGAAGAGAGTAGCAAGCACCAGTGTACCGCACCGTAATCGAGAGCCCCACCAGGACGAGGCGACTGCTTGCCTCAGCCCAGTCTGGGCGGCGATGAAGGGATAGCAGAATTGCACGAGGTGCGGTGGTGATGCTCGTCTTGAGGCAAGACTGGTTTCAGGTGGTGTCGCGGCGACAAGGGTTTGTGGCCGAGGCTCTCTACTCCTACTCTGCAGTGCCATTGTCAGGGAGTGCTTGGGCCACTTTTGCGGCCACTATGCCACTGTCGTCGTAGGCGTCTGGGGCGCTGCGGGAAGCTTCAGCCAATCGAATCGCCGCTCCTGAGCTTCTCGAGGTTCCAAGGTTTCCAAAGCCCGCCTTCAAGGTTGATGCAAGTCACAGAGCAGACCGAACCCCAGACCTTGTCCAAACTCCAAACTGACTTCACATCTCTCAAACTGCCCAAGTCCAGCCGCATTGCCTCAGAGCCGCGTACCTTTTCTATGTGGCACAGCCAGAGTGTATACATGTGCGTTCGACGGTCCTGCAGAAGCCCACTTATCTCTCTGGCACCTCAACGAGGATGTCGACGCGATTGTGGCATGACTTTGGGGGTTGCAGTAGAGTGCGTCCACTGCGTAGATCCTTGATGATATCGTTGACGGTCCAGGGTTTGTAGCTCGAAATAGAATCGTGATGGTTTCCATCATTGCGCTGTGGAGGTTGCCGTTTTCTTGAAGTTGAACGAAACGACAACCCCCCAAAATGAGCCCATTTCGTAGTCTAGGTTCGTATCTTCGTTCACGATGGCTCAAACACAGCACTTTAAGTCAAGCAGCTATCTGTATGCGCCAGCCCTTGTGATGAACCAACATTTCGCTGAGCGTTGATAACTCGCTGTGGTATCATGGGCCAGGCGGTAACGCCACATGGTAAACTCAGTCACGCAAGTAAGCCGATACTGAGTGTGGTTAGGATATCGCGCCACCCCAGATGCGTCCTTCGTAGCGTAGACCTGAACATGCTCCCGCTCTACGTATTCCTACTCTGCATTGGCGTTGCCGGAGAGCCGGTCGTCATACTAGTTGTCTCGGCCGAGACCCAATCACCAGGCAGGCAGGACAACCGTCGTCGAGATAATTCACAATAGTTTAATGCATTGACTTCTACTGGCCTTGTTTGATTCCATTGCGACTCCATGACCGCGGAGAGACGCTGTACTGGAATTTTTACCCTTTCCAACACCTGACACAGCCCCGGGCTTAGACAGTGAGCATGAAGAACGAAACATTTCTAGGAAACGTTGCGAGGTAAAAAGTGTTGAGTGCATGGATACAACGGCCAGGCTGAGCAATCTGCACCGTCGATCACTTCTGGCCGCTGAGGGGGGCGGAAACCTCAGAAGTCCAGACGATACACAACTCAATCGTTGGGGGCATGAAAATGTAATGAAAGATTCGAGAGATGAGATACCATGAAGACTCATGTACTATGTAGCCTCTCAATTGCCTCGTATTCATGAGGCATCCGTTCTGGACTATTTGCAGTCATTTGTGATAGAGCTTGGTGCTGGTCCAGCTGAGCCTTGGCATTCTCAAACCAGTAGCCGGCCCCCTTTTCATCAAGTTCTTGCTTTGAAATATGGCGTTCAAGTATGGTCGATGGAGAATGAGATAAACGTTAGAACCACTCAACGTGCATTAACGGTAGAATTATTAATGCCGAGGGAATAAACTGGATAGACTATGCAGTACACCGTGAAAGTCCATGAGGAATCCCAGCGCAACAAGAGATATCACATCACAGCAGTGAAATTGATGCTTTACACCACCGGCATTAGCGAGGTTGGACCTGGAACAACTGTCCCGAGGAATGGACCGGCCGGGTCGAGCATGTACATGTATTAGCAATCCGAGAGTCTGTGAGTTATCAGGCTCGTTGGCTTATCAAGGCCAAGGTGGATCAGATGTTGGAAATGAAGATAGTTCACAGCCGGCGGTGCTGGAATCGAACGGTCGACTTTGAATCGACACTAAAAAGTGCTGCTAGAAGTCAGTGTAGTCAAAAGACACAACATTCTACCCCACTGCTGCTGACAAGGAGCACGGCACTAGCTATCGCGAGATGCCTGCCATTGCCTCGAGGCCAACCCTCCTCCCTTCTTAGCCGAGACAGCTGACAAGCATGCAGAAGTGAATCTCACAGAGCGGTGAGCAATAGGGGGTTTGGTTAGAGTCCAGGAGGGGTCTCTCTTCACCTCGAAAGGGTCGAATCCGCCCAGGTCTAACGAAACTCTCGGAGAATCCTGGCCTGCCTACCTGCCTGCCATCGCGTGATATCCCACGTGTAGCTCCTACCCATAATAGAGCGTGGCAGCAACCAGGATGGCTAACTAGAAGGAACTAACTAGACTAGGTAGGGTAGCTAGTGTGGCTACGAAATAAATGGGTACAGTCATCCTGGACAAAGTGAAGCCACCAATTCTATTCTACGGTTCATGCCCCATCGACGCCAAGTGGGGGAGGGAAGGCACGCAGCTTTGCTGCAGACGAATCAGGCGCGGCCAGACTCCCCGAATAAGAAGCTGCCCTCCCTATCCTCTTTTCAGCCGACACTTGTCCTTTTTCTGATAGCTCGCGCGCGCGCAGAACATCTCACACTGTGTCCGGGCTACCCCGAGTTCCAACTGCCTGCACCAACGCGACTGACTGACACGCCCTGCATCTTTCCCCAGGTGGCTTCTTCACGTTACTCGAGGCCGAGCCTTCCATCTGATCTCGATATTTGGGGTGCATGTGTGTCATTTCCTATGGCGATACGACCCTCCAACTTTGCTATTAACAGACTTAGCTGATAGACACTTTCATTTGAATTGGCAACCTAGAAAGGCAGGCACGATAGATGCACGAAAGTGCCAGTGACAGTGATATTGACACAGCCGCTCTCCGAAGGAAAGACCGAAAGAGCGATCTTCGGAAGGCGGAAGAGAGGGAATCTCAAACCAAGGGTACCTACCTAGGTAGCGCAGTACGGGAGGTAGATTTCAAAACCTCCCTGCTCCTGCCTGCTGCAGGTTGCGTACCTGCCCGCACCGCACCGCACCGCACCACAGCTTGCTGCCACCTTCCGCGTACCTTCCTCCACTCAGATAACCTGCCTCGCTTGGCTGGCAACTTCCAAAGCTACGGGTGCATCAACTTGAAAGTGACAGCTAGCCATTTTCTCCATCTTATCGCACCTCCTTTTCCCGCCATTCCTTTCTAAGAATAACCTCGTCCATCCAGAGCAAACGTTTTCCGCATCTTGTTTCACGCCGCGGCAAGAAAGCATTGCGGCTCGCGCTCCTATTCAACATCCGGGTTGGAGCATCGCCGCACGTACAACGCCCGTCAGCACCTAGTAGCTGCCGGTAGCACGACATCTCCATCACGACCAGCAAACGGCCACCATCCAGCTGCCGGAAGGAAACTTGCGATCGACATAGAAAGGAGATTCGTGACAAGGTTAGCTACCCATTTCGTTCTCTCCATCCCAACATCCCCGTAGCCACGAGACAGATTTTTTTTCGCCCTTCCCTATCTCGGGCTTCCAGCAAATGTTACTCCCCGTGCCCGGGCCTTGTCATGCCGTCCAGACTACCTACCTACACCTGGACAGGCCTGTCACCCAGCCGGGGACTTCCCAATACCATGCAAGGCTCTAAGTCGACCGATCATCCTCCACCGCACCGCTCTCAATCCTACCAACAGCCTGCGCTATGCTACGCTGCGACTCAATCACACGCTACTGGAGTACAAACCCTCGCTTGTGAAGCTACTGTTGGGAGACTCGGAGACAACTCGTTATCGAGCTACCGCGCTCAAGAGGACCTCCGAAGATGAATCCGCCCTTTGATGGAGGCTTGTCATGGGTAGTGCCCTAACAGAGCTTCTATCATCGGCTGCAGCTATTCCGCCCTCCCCTAGCACTCCTCACGCAGTACTCCCTGTGTTCCCTCGTGTGCGAGGCGTTCTGACAGCGTGGGGCTTAATTTGCTACATATTGATCCGAGGGACTGGTAGTCAGTCGCCGTAGCATTGATGCACGGCAGCGCCAATGGCTGAAGACGACCGCATCAAAAGACAATGTTATCCTCCCAAAGCCTCCCCAGATATTGCATCAGCGCTCCCCTGCATTCGACATCATAGCATGCCATCTTATGCCTATCGATATCAATGGCCACCCAAGTGGCGGGATGCCAGCGATTTTCGATAGTTCCGGTCCCTAACCCACCCTCTGCATTGCCTGATGAGTGAGATGCGTGAGATATGCCTGTGGCCCAGCTCATTGGAGACCAGTGTGGGAACGGGGTGGTTGCGGTTGGCTTGTCCAAGTGGAGTCGCATTCCCCCCGTCACAGTGCTCGTGGCCCGTCTCCCACAATAAATAATACTCTTGTCCCGTGCAGCACACATACTATGCAGTACAGCACCAACAGGGGGGTCACGCCTGCACCAGGAACCACTTGAGGAGCCAGGCATGCCGGGCTAGCCACTGGAAAGGACTGCAAATGCTGCAAGAACACTGCCGGAAGACTTACGCGCAGTGGAAGCGCTCCTCCCCCGACGATGGACGAGGGCCAGCTGCGAGCTTGTTTTCTTGGACAAGGAGATAGAGGACGCACACACATGCGAGAAATGGGACACTGCTCTACAAACTACACTGCTAAGGATGGTCACCACCACTCCATAGTATCCCGGCGGAGAGATAATCCCACCAGCGAAAGAATCCAGCGATCCCCAGCTCCCACCGTACACTGTGCGTAAAACACCCCCGTGAGCGAGCATGGAAGCTCGAGGACAGGACGGATAGACAGGGGACTTTGATCGCACTGGGCGCTTCTTGACCATCCTTCTCTACGCCCCACATATGGGGGGTCAGATATTAATTCTCATTTGCCCGGTCGACTAGCACTGCGCTCTCCTCCCCCAAAATCCCGTGGGTCGGCGTTCATTATCATTATTTCTGCTATGACCACTGATTCCCTGCCTCTCATCTTACATCCGCCCTTGTTAAGGACCTAAAATTGGGAGAGCCCTATTTGCTGACGATACTCCTCTCCTTGACACCAGACCCGCAGCACGTACATACAGACGGAGCTAAAAGTCAGACCGACGTGGACACGACACAACGAAACAGAGACGGCAGGAAACCCGCAGCTACAGTATAGTAGGCACTCGGGAGCCAGCACCAGCACGAAGACAAGACGCGCGCACATACGCAGCTTGCGGCTTGGATCAGGGGCAAACGAGGGCACAGAGGGTTTCTCGATCCAGCCAGGCCAGGTAACAGGTAAGGGACAAGACGACGCCCCAAGCACATTCCCATTCCAGTCCATCCACAGCAAATGGTTGCACAGTTGCACATACCTGCCCGCCCCGAGACAGCCATGTCTCCCCCAAAGTCCCAAGGTCCCAAGGTCCCAGTGTCCGGTGCCCCACTGCGTTGCGCCTCGCGACAGTGTCAACTGCAGCCACCGGGCCGCTCGGCATGCGGTCCTGGCACTGTGCAGGGGGTGTGGTGTTGGGACCTGCTAGCTGCAGCCGTGCAGATGGTGCCGCTGTTAGCTGCTTGCTTCTTGTGCTGCACGCCTACCACCTTCCCCCCTTCGGCAACCCACCAACCTCCTGGAAAGTCCCCATTCCCTCTCATCCCCCCTCGTCC